AGGTTAACCATCCTCAGCTTTTAAGTGAATGTGTTGTAACTATGATCCATTTCCTTCCAAATTTACTGATTTGGGGTTTGCCACAGAAAACAATCTTTTATGTAGTTTTGTTATATATATACAGCAAAGCATATTGGATAAACAGTAAAACACACATAGACACATGCACACATATATATTGTCAAACATATGTATATAGTTAAACATACACAGAAAAGCATCTTGGAGAAACAATAACACATATACACATGTATATGTGTATGTATATATATATGTATCTCTCTCTCTCTGTATATATATATATACGCACACACATATATATGTATGTATAAATATGTAGATATATTTTTTCTCTCATATATATATATATATATGAGAAAAGTTTCCAGCGCTTCTTATAGAAGTTTTTTTTTCCTGTTGGACTTGAATCGAATATTTCAGTATTTCTATGAACCTGTGAATCAGGCAAGAACCACTGCTTTTACATAGATAAATTATCACCACTACTTACTTACATAAAATGGAAAAATAAAGGAATTAGGAAGAAATGTTGAAACCAAACAAAAGGCTGTTGAGAGTCTGTTGGAAACTTCTCAGAAAAGCAGTTTGGAAATTTTCTTTTTGCATTTTTTTTTTTTTTAAATTTTAGAGATCTTCTCATTTATTCTGGAGCAGGGAAAATATCAGCATTCCAGAAATGAAAAAGGCCACCTGTTTGTCTGCAGCTGTCCTGTAAAACAGAGCAGTGCTACTGGCAGCTAATAATACCTCCAGCTTGCAGAAGTGGCATGTATTTGGCATTTTATTCAGTATTCTGGGCAGATATACAGCTTGGCTTGCTTTTATTTTCCCCAAGTTTATCTGAATATCTCATCTGGGCCATGCAGTAGCACATCTGACAAACGATGGCTCCACAGTGCTAAGCTGTAGAATCGATTTGCAGTGCAAATACAGTGAGACTGTTTTGTATGTATTGTGGACGATGAAAGGAATGGAAGTGGGCCAAATTCAAGCTGTTTGCCATTGCATCTGATCAGCAGATCCTATGGAGAGAATTTGCCTGCTGTGAATATTTGATTCTCGCTAGCTTGAACTGTCTTGTGTGTTGGCAGTGCTACTGTGTGAATTTGCAGTGGCTTTCCAGGGTGTCTGTCCTATTCAACTGCCAATTTCTAGGGGTTTTTTTTTTACAGGGTTCAGGATTTTGTGCTCCACTTCATGCATGAGGAAAATTACTTAATGCTATGCAGCGAATATTTTTTCATATTTATAACACTCAGGTTAAAACAAAACAAAAAAAATTAGAAGTCTGTTGTCTTTTCCCCCTCCCTTATTCCCTCCCTCCACCTTCATAAAGGTGTAACTCCTCTGCCACCTACTCTCTCTGCATTATCTTCAGGTGATTGTCCTGGCAAGGTGATTTTGTAGTGGTGAGTCCGTCAGATTACACACCAGAAAGGATGAAAAGGTGATGGTGTTGAAATGCAGTTGCGGGAGAAGGAGCATTTCTCCCTTCCTTCCTATGCATCCTTCTGATGAAGTTCTCCTGGAGCTGGGTGCTCTGCCCCCTTATCTGTCCATGAGCCTTCTTACTGGTTCATGGCTGCCTTGCCTGGGAGTTTGCAGTTTTGTGTTGGTTAATTTTTTGTTTCTGAAATTCAGTATATTGAAACATTTACATTAATAATTTTTGGTTTTCAATACTTACAAGTAAATGACATTGGTTGTAATGCTGATATAACAGTAACTGTCAGGACTCTGCTGAGGCAAGCAGGAAAGGCTTGGGATTTAACATATCACTGTATCCCTGTGTCTGTCACCATACTGAAGCATTTATCTTCTCTATACAGCCTATTTAGGCTTTCTGTCATTTTGTAGATTAAGCATAGATAAAATTGTATAGCTATCTGTGGTATCTATAGATTACAGATTTATAACTTACATATCTATATAAATATAGATATTTATGGCCATAAAATTTTATATATTAAAGTGATAGAGAAAATTTGCAAAATAAATTTAGGCTATAAACTATCAGCTTTTTCTTCCTCTGTGTCTATGAAGGACAAAAGCCCGAAGAGGATTTTTGATTATACGGTGGTGTGGGATGAAACCAAGAGGAGCCAGCAAGAGACAGTTGCAGGTCCTCTGGGGCTGTAGGAAATGATGTGCTGACCAAGTGACCAATTCTCTGTCTACTCCAACACTGCAGCTGCAGAAAGTAATGGCTGAGAGAAAAGCAGTATCATCTCCATTTAAGATATTGAGGAAATTGTGTAATAGTGCCTCATAGGGACTGCCAGAGGGACCAAATTCTGGTCGTGTGTCTTCTGAGACCACTGTAAAAGATACCACCCTGTTAGCTGAGGCACAGCAGCTGGCCACCCTGAGATCCTTGCCACTGCAGTGTGACCCATTTGCATGACCTATTTAATTCTGCCAAGTTGTAAAGAACTGGGCAGGCACACTAAATGTGTCTTTTCAATCACCTATTTAAAGTAAGTATGGTTTTTATATCTTGCTACTTGTAAACCTGTTTTTTCTGCTTTCTTCAGTTTTTTCAGCAATGACAAAGAGTGGCTTTTTTGACTAAAAAAGTGCATAATTTCAGCTAACAGACATTGAACAATAAATCCTCTTGAAAGAGAAAAGCAACATTTTCTGAGAACTGAAGAAATCAGGACCTGGTCAATGCAAGGTGTAGTAATCCTGAGAGAAAGCTTTGCTGAGAGCTGTGTCTTAACTGTAAGACTCCTTTCTGCCCTTAGTGGCTTAGGAGTGCTTTTCTCCAGTGAATCAATGGAACTAACAAATGTGAATTTCATCTGTACTACAGCAAACCAGGGAAAGTTTAGTGTTGCAGTAGTATGGGATACGTTTTTTGGCTTGGGGTTAGGCAGCCTAGGCAGGTGTCCTTGAGTAAATATATCACTTGAAAGCATTTTCTTTGTTGGATTTTTCTTCAGTCCTTTTAAACAAGTGCCATTTTTAGAACCATTTGGAAATAAAAATTATGAGATTTTTAGCAAAAGCAGAACTTTCTTTCAGGGCTCACTGATTGCATCTTGTTGGCACTTGTGGTTATTTGTGCCCATACAAGATACCAGCTTTCTGAGGAATTGTTTGGGTCATAGTGTTAGTTACTTGGCAAACATTATTCATATGATGACCATCAAATAAAAGCATGTAGCCAAGCAGGAGTAGGTGACGCTGGTTTTTTAAGAAGCAGGCATTTGTTCATCAGCAGAAGAACCGAGTTCCCAAACTATTTGGCTGCCAGATAACTGGTATTTTTGTTACTGCTTATCATAACTCAGATGTGAACTTCTGGCATAAAGATGGGTGCAATTAGTTATCTTCAGCATTCCTCCTCTGATTGTTTTATAAGTCTACTAGGTTACTATGATCTCTATGTCCAGTATATTTTTTGTTAAATTTGGAACTACTGTTAGGAACTTTTTTTGATGCTTTTGCATTTTTATTTGAAATATTAGATTTATGCATTGCTCCACCAACCATTTGAGAGTGACCAGGACTATCCTCCATCAAAGACTAAACATAAGAGTTATTCATGATGCAGTTGGAAAAATTATAATGCAAACAGTAAGCCAGATGGAAAATTTTACAGGCATCTTTTCATGTCATGAATGATGCTGTCTCTCTGGGTTATGGGCTCTCTGCTCTCTCAACTGCTGTTCCTTCCCCCCCTGGCTCCCCTCCAGAGCTGTTAAGTTTCAGCCAGGGAAGAAAGGGAGATTTGAACTCCTCTGAATTTCTAAGTCTCTGTTTTCTGTGGTGTGGCTGGCGAGCTTTGTGTGCAAGAGTGTTGGCATGCCGAGAGCCATGGCGATTTGCATGCTGCTCGCAAGCAGGGCTGCTCTCCCCGAGCCCCAGGAAAGGCTGGGAGCAGATGTGTGTGAGCCCTGCTCACCAATCCTGCTCTCTCATGCAGTGGGTAAGAGCTGAACACCGCCAGGCTCCTCTGCTTCCCAGTTTTTATGAAAACAGGTCTCCACCACATGCTGTGGTTCTGCTGTGCTGTAACTCTTCATGTGGCAGCTTAACTTTAGGTTTGAGATGAGACTTCTCAAAGAATATCAAGCTGTACATTGTATCTTTACTTGTCCACACACCTGCCATTGCAGTTGCTGGTCTAGAAACATATATATCTAAAAACTTATTTTCTACTAGCTGCAAGATTTATCCGTGTAGAACATATTCCCCGGTTCTGTAACAGGGGAGTGGTGTGCATGCATATGTATAAAACCTGTATTAACTGTATATGCACATACGCAGATTCAGTCTCCTTGGTGCAAAGGATGACACCAAAGTGTCATCGCTTGGACTTGGTTTGAAAGAGATTTTTATCAGTTTTTACTTAGCCTTTCTTAATTTTCCTTTCCTTTTAATTTTTACACTTTGCAAAGAGTAAATCCTCCATAAGAAGTGTTACAAAATTGGTGTTGTTTCTTCTTAGAGACAGTGGCCATATGAAGTGTAGCTTCAAGTTTTTTATTTCAGGAGAAAGCACCTATCTCTTTTCTCAGTGGCTTATGACTGGTTACATTTAGAGAGGCAAGAGAACAGTTGTGTTAACTGGCTTGCTTGTATCTGACATGCAAAGTGTTTTCTGAACAAATTGCCTGTTAAAATGGTGGCAGGCTGTTTCATATCTACTCTTCCTACTCCCTTCAAAAATCCTGCCTTTTCTACTCTGTAACATGCTAAAGTTGTGTGGCAGCCTCCAGGTGGAGAAATTAGTGGGCCTTTTTCAGTTAAAAAAGTTGCCAACATCTGTACGTATCTGGTTTTCAAACAAAATCTACACTGACTTCTTAAATTATGTGACTGGAAATGTCTTTGGTTCTTCATTTAGTTAATGGTATGACTGTTCATGAGCAGTTAGTGAATTAAGGAGAAGTTGGTTTGGTAAATATTTTTTTGGTTCAATTAAGGAGAGCTTGAAGTGTTGAGATTTTATGCTTTTTGTCTCTTTTCAGGATAATATCATATTATTCTTAAGAGGCTGCAAAGAACTGGGACTTAAAGAATCTCAGCTTTTTGATCCTGGTGATCTGCAGGACACATCAAACAGAGCAACCATCAAGTAAGTACAACAGCAGTTTGTGACTAGCATGTTACAGCCTCAAGTGCATGTGATGCAATCGCAAATATTTAAGAATGAGCAAAAAGGCTATAGAACTGTAATTAGTGTAAGGCAAATAGGAAGCAGAAGTTTGGCAAACTTTCAGTGTTGGGATGAATAGATTGTTCTATTCAACAGGTTTTGTCCCAGAGACATCAACCACAGCTCTGCAAAACAGGACAACACTTGGAGAATGCTCTCAGGCCCATGGTGTGGCTCTTGGGGATGGCTTGTGCAGGCCTAGGAGTTGGACTTGATGATCCTTGTGGATTCCAACTCAGTTTACTCTGTGATTTTGTGAAAATACTGTCTTAGTTAGGCAATGAGATTCTGAGGGACTTAGGGGTTTTCCTAATCTAAATTGATGACATTCTTTTTTTGTCTTTCCAACTAATAAAATATTGTAGTCTGGGAGAAAAGGCACACAGTTCTGTTATGTCAGATTAAATCGTTCTGATGGTGAAATATAGGACAGTTAGAGGCTTCTCAGATTCTATGAGGTGCAGGGATAAGCATGGTCTCTTCAGTTCCCTGCAACAGCTATGGCTTGAGACACACAGTAATTGGACTGAGGAAGTCTGTGTGAACTGGAAATGCCACAATTTAGATAGTTTTTCACCAAAACTACACACCCACTACCACACAAATTGTACAGGCCCCCCACCTTGTAAAAGCAAAACCACCCCACACTTTCACAAAATTAACAAAATTTATAATTGGTGTTTCTTAATTTCTAAATTGGTATTTAGAAGTTTTCCTGAAAGTTTTGGGTCTATCATGTCATGTTACAGTTATAACAGAAGTTATTGCTCTACAGACAATCAAATGCTGCCGAATTGATTGAATGGTCTAATTTCATTTGGCCAAAAAGATCACTAATGAAATCCTGATCAGACATACCTATTTTAGAGAAGTATATAGAAACAATTTACTAAATTTTGGTAGCTTTTTTTTTTTTTTTTATTCCTTTCTGGCAATGGAAGCTGGGCAAGTTTTCATGGTATTCAGGCACTGTCTGGGAAGATTCAAAGGCTCTGAAAATTGAATTGGCCAGTGTCCTTGTTTTAAGGTATACCATTTTTTGATCTTTCTCAAGTTTCTGACTCTAACATGAGGTTCTTCTTGCCCTCTACATGGCAGTGAGTGGAGGCTATGTCATTAATTTCTTCTGAATCTGATAATACTTTGATAAAATGGGGTCTTCATGATGCCCCGTAAAATCATTATGATGATTGATTGGTGAGAGTTGCAAAACAATTCATAATCTTCATATAAAACCCTAATCTCCATATGAAACCAGAGAGGAAGAGTCTTTCTGATAAAAACCTTCATCTTTTGGGGTTGAGGATGGATGGAGTACCTTGGTGGAGGCAGGTTGAGAGGCTTTGACTAGGGTGGAGGTCAAAGTGAAGCTGTCACCAAGTTAAACCTGGCATCATAAACCCCACAGAGCTGGCCTGGGCCTCCACTGCATATGAGGGCTTCAGAGAAAGCAGCTGTGGAAATGAGCCAAATGTTTTCCTAGCACTGTCCAAGTTCACACTGAGTAACTGAGTTGAGGTGTACAAGCCAAGTCCATGACTGTTTTAGAGAAATATGTTGTAGGCTGTGTTCTGCTAGCTAGTTCCCAAAGCATGAAGGTGATTTTTTCCCTCTTTGAAGACTTTTGCATGATTTTTTTAAACATGGTGAAAATATTATTTGTGGTAAAGGATGAGTATGACATTATTGCACATGCTTAAGATGATGACATTTTACCCTTCTTTTTTTCCATACAGATGTTAATTGAGGCATGTATTAGATATATTTTTTGGATCACACTGCTTATAAAAGTTATGAGCTAATACTGTAAGGAATTTTTTTGTGACTAGTTAAGCAAGTGTCTTTTCCACTGTTATTTTTCTAAGGAAAAAAACCAGGACTGTTCTATTTTTCTTATCATGTGGGTATTAGTGGACAAAATTTTGGCTTAAAAAGATAATATCAAAAATACTTTGTTTACCATTGCCTATATTTAGGCTTTTGTTGTTGTAAATAACAGATTTGAGTATATTTTTGGTTTTGCCAGATAAATTCTAATGATGGAATGGTCTTACTGTTAGAGTATAAGACAATTCCACTGTAAATAATAAGGACACAATCTTTACTAAATCTCAAATAGTCTTATGTAGGTTTTAGCACCTAAATGTGATGTGTATTTCCTTCTTTTTTAATGCTTTCTTTGCTGAATTTTGAAATGTTGTTTATGTTTGCACAAACTTTGCACCTTGTTGTTTTTAACACAAAACTGCCACTGTTCCACAAACATAAGAGAAAAAAATAAATTGAGAAGGATGATGCCAATGTTCAGTCTGAATGCTCAAGTATACGTCTGAAAAATAAATGTTTTCCATGCCACATTCTGTTTTAAATGGCAGGGTCTTTGTTGCTTCGTCCATTCACTTTGTTCTTTGTAATGTTTGTTTCCACAGAAGCACCTGCAATATTTCCTTAATGTTTGCTGATGCCACTTATGCTTGTTCAGTTGCTTCCAGAATCTGTATGGGTTGCAGAGCAGAATCTGACTGTTGGATAACTGCAGAATGTATTTTAGCAGTGAGGACTTTTGTCTTCCTTTTTTAAGAAATCAGCAACTCTGCTTAAAGGAAATATTTTGGCATTGTCCTACTTTACTGTGGGAGCATTATAAACACATTTTCTTCTTTTACTTGCAGAATTCTAATTTAATGATTGAAATAATGGTGACAAAATACTCCCATGTTATGAATAAATGAATGTGTGAACTACATCTTCTTAGCTTTCATGTATTTCCAGACAGCAGAAGCATTCGGCAGGCTTTTCTTAGGGAAAATGTGATCTGCTGCATACAGCCTCTTGGAAAGTATGTCTACTTTCTGATTTTTTTCCCTTTTTTTTCCTTTTTTTGTTTTTTTTTTTCTTATCTTTGTATGTGTTTGTGTGTGCAACCAGGAACATTGACTATAGTAGGAAGCTGAAAAATGTAAGTATATCATTTGGATTTGTTATTTTTGTCTGGTTAATTCTGTTATTGGCCTGATCAAGAATTATGTCAGTAAAAACTGAGTACATGAGTATTGCTGAAAAGTCCTTCTTAAAACAAACATAACTGGGTTCTTTTGGAAATTTAGGTAGAGCTGCTATGGCAAAGCAGCCTTAAAAAGAAAGAAAATGGAGAACATTTGTCTCTTTTTAGATACTCTTAGATGAGTGCTGTCCAGTGTGGTGTTTGCTGGGAAGGGTCGGATTCGACCATGAAGCCACACTTTTGTAGCCCTTCCCAAATATATTCCCATATATATATATATGCCTATATTCCCAAATATAGGCATAGAGTACAGTTGTACAAACCATTTAAAATGAAGCAAAATGGCCATTAAATTGGAATGCAAGGCCTTACCGTGAGGTTAGCTAGCTTTCTCATTGTTCTTCCAAATAAATTAGTGTTTCCCCAGAAAGACTTTCTATTTAACTTCAATTTCCTCTTAATTTAAACTAAAGGCACCCTGTGCTTGTTAACTAGAAAAGAAAATGTCTAACCTTTGCTGGTCTCATTTTAAAACCTAGCAAGCTGCCTGTCCTTAGTTAGCTGTAGACAGGTATAATTTTTGTTTGGCTCACATCCCTATATCGTGATAGGAAATGCCAAGATCTTTTTTAATAACTTTGAAAACCAGTAATCATAACTTCCATAACTGGAGGTAAAAAAAAAAAAAGCCCAAACAACACCAAAACCACCTCCCCCACCCCCCGCAAATTGTTTCATCCTGTCTTTCCCATCAGCAGTAGAGTAGTATCTTCTGCACCCAGCATACAGATTTTTAGGGGAAGAATTCAGCTTTGGTATTTTAACACTCTTTGTGGGCACTAGTTAAACAACTTAGTACAGATATGTTGCTTTAAAGGTGAAGTTTCAAAAGTATCCTCCAGAATGTGCTTGTAGGCAATATATGCTTTCCAGGTGCATGATCCTGCAGCCTCAGCTGGCAGCCAGCCGGAATTGCTTGCAAATGTGAAATTTTCTGCCTTGTTTTTTTCCAACTAAAGAAAGGAAGAAGAGAGAATGTGATTAAATGCTAGCAGAAATAAATAAAAATACCAAAAATACCATAACCTTCATCAATGGACTTGATGGCAGTTTCCTGGTTACTAGAAATACTGTTATTTGCAAATATTTTCATTTAATTTGAGAACATATACTGTACGACTTTTTTGCATTAAATTTGTCAAGTGGTGTTGGTTGAAGGAAAACAGTTCAGATAAAGGTTGTTTCAAGACAAAAAATCAGGACTAGCAACACCACCTCCTTTCATTCAGCACAGTAGTATTGATTTGGATGAAATTTTTTTAAAAGGGAAATGTTTTTAAAGTTTATTAAAAATGTGACTCAGTTATTTCATGACATGTATACTACTTGTAAACTGATGAAAAATATAAACTATATTTATATATCAAATACATATTTTACGTTATGTACCACAGTTGCTTTTAAACAGAAGGTTTGAATGATGCTGTATCCTTTTCTGACAGGGCCTCAGCTGCAGTGCTGCATAATTTTGGACATTGCACTTAAATGAAAGATGGGGATGCTAGTGCAAGTTGATAAGAAAACTCTAACATGTTGCTGAGGAGGAATGTGGAAGCATGTTTTAGGGAAGAAGAGTCCAAGAGATGTCTGTTCCCAGTGAAATCCCCCTTTGGGGTTTCTGTTAGTCTTGTTTCCTTTAGTTCACTATATATCATGAAGTATATGGTCCTGTCCCATCAAAGCATGAAAAACTATACTTCAGTTCATGAATCTTTTTTTGAAACAGTTAATGGCAACTATTATTTATTATTGGTTGCATCTCTTTTCCTCATCAAAATATTTCCTGTTCATTCTGCAGTCAAATACTTTGCAATGCCATGGAATATACCAAAATAATGAGCATTAAATGAGAAAAAGCCCTCGGTTCTAGGGTGATGGTTTGTAATTTTTAACCAGTGCAAAACACTGAATTGAATTTCCTTTGATGAGCAGTTTCCAGTCCAAATAGCAGCTGCACAGGTATTATTAAAGACACAACTCTAAGTGGAGACATATGTGTGTGCAGAAAAGGCCTTTCCTTGCATGATACACATGTCAGCATTTTTGGATGTATTGGATTTGACCATCCTAAGCATCTTAATTTCTCGTTTTCTAAAACAAGTGCAACACCATCAGTGTCAGGTCAGGTATCTTTGCTACTTGCAAGAGCAATTCTTGGTCTTTTCCCTCGCTAGTTTTGAAGGGACTTTTGAGTTATGGAGAGGTGTCAAGTCAGAACTTGAAATAAATCACTAACTTTTCTGCTGTAGTCTGATAGAAACAACAAGATGCTTATGGCTTTTGATTAATCTTGGGCTAAGAAATTCTTAAACTAGCAGAAGCCTGGAAAAAAATGGTCCTGTGTCATTTGGTTACTTACATTAAGATGATTAAAAATGGGACTTCCTTTTCTGACCTTGAAATAGACACATATTCGAGATGCTTTTAGGCAGGCAGGCAGACATTCTAGGTACTTTGTTTATTGCCTTGGTCTGAATGGTTTTCATTAATGACTACTAATATTAGCAGTCTTTAGGGAGTTTTTTGTATTGAATTTACAAAGAAATGTATTTATGTGTGCCTTCTAGAAGTTTCAAATCTCTTTGTCCAGTTTTTCTACTCAGATCCATCTTTTCTGTTTATTTTTCCAGGCAGTTATAACACTTTCGTTATTTTTAGTTATAATACCAGAGAGATAATATGTTGTTACATATTTTTTAGAACTGTTTAAACTTTCATAGTTTCCTGATGTATTTATGTTTAACCTTTGACAGACACTTCCCTTTCAGTTCTGATTTATAAAAAAAAAAAATCTTGTGCTGCTGTGCAGTTTAGAATAAATGAGGGATGTTGCATGGAAGTAAATTTAGCTACAGGACTGTGTACATGGCTGAAATTAATTCTTATTAACTTCTGCAGGTATTAGTCACCATTTATTGGCTAGGGAAAGCAGCAAACAGCTGCACATCGTATAGTGGATCAACCCTGAACCTGAAGGAGTTTGAAGGCTTCCTGGCACAAATGAGAAAGGTATCTTTTTGTTACGTTTACGGAATGGAAATTTACTTCAAATTATTACTCTGATAAATAAACTGTTTCTTTCTAATTATGAGAGAAGGGGGGCTGGAGTGCAAATTCCTTAGTAAGCCTCTACTTACATCAAAAAATGTTTCTGATTCTACCAAACTGAAAACCACTTTGGCAGCCAGCTTTGTGGTGGCATCAGTGATGCAGCTAGTGATGTCAAATAGGACTTTAGAATTGTCATGTGGCTCTTTCATCTTAATTTCCATGTGTTTTGGTTTGAATTATTTTCATTTATGACACCAAGTTTCAGCTAGAAGAGCTGAGATTCAAAAGTAACGTGGTAGGACTCACAAGAACATAGCTTTTTTCTTCTTTAAAACATTCAGTCTCATGGGCAGCTTTTTTGGTTTTGTGTTGCAACATAAAACATCAAACCAAAGGATCTAAATAAAGCTGAAGTGGAGGAGAAGGAGATTATGTTTCACCAAAGGCATAGTTCGGATAAATCTGTTTTTGCCAAGCTCTAAATTCTGATTGAAATCATATTTGGTGGTTTATGATGAACTGATCTCTGTTGGAAGAGAAAAGTTGTGATTGCTGTAGGACGGTTTGAGGATTTTTGGTTGAGCATTCTAGCATGCCCTGAACCTCAACATCAGACACTTAACCTCATGATTAATGCTAATGGTTAGTATTGATAACCAAACCTGCCTTTCTTTGGGATGGAAGGGGCAAAGAGTGGGTGTGGAAGACTGGCAGCACCATGTGCTGGCACCATGTGTGTAGGACATACTGCTCAAGAAAAGCTGTGCAGACACATTCTGTAGTCCACAAAAAGCCTTGTGCCTGCTATTCCCTCCCCACCTCATCTAATAGCCATGTCATCACAGGCAGTAGGGTTTGGGGACCATGGGAGACTCTCTGGACTTGAATTGTCCTTCAGCTCTGTGCTGCTGCAACTGTGCTGGTTGCAGGTCTTCATTCTGGGATCTCACAGGGCCAGCACCCCTGGAGAGGAAGAAATGCTTGTCTGACTGATAGCAGCTCCTACACCCTGGTGTGACCAGAGAACCTTAACTAGATGGGTAAAATTCCTGTTTGTGAGCCCACTTCTTCTGAACAAGCAGGTGAAAATGGAAAGGAAAAGAGAACATCCCGCTTCTCTGGAGAAGTTTATTTTAGTCTTCATTTTAATGACCTGTGCTTATCACTTGGGACTTTGGGACTCATGAGTGATATGACTGAGCCTGAGCAATAAAAAGATTAAGTTAGTAGTTGAGTTGTTTACAAGTAGATGATGTGGGGAAGGAACAGTTTGCACTCCAAAGGGTCTGAAAGGTGAAACAAACCCAAAAAAAGGAGCTAGCACAGAAAAATTGCTGAAGCACAGGTAGCCACAATGTTAGTGCTGCATGGTATCGTGATTTTTTTTTTAATGTTTATTCTCACACGAGAAGGCTCCGCTTTTTCCAGGTGATATTTACCCATGAAACTAATCACCAGAGCATTTTGGAGGTCCTATCTTGAACCCTTTTGTGGGATGAAATAGGCTAGGGGCAAAAGGAAGTGTTCTCCAAAGAGCTGGTGGTCGTGAAGTACCTGGCTGGGCACTGCAGAGTGCTGCAAATTAAGCAAGAGGCTGGTACTTGATTTGTTGCAAATGTTGGAGCTGGGAGCAGAGTAGAGGTCTCATAAGAGCTGAAAGCTATATATGCCTTTAATGCATAAACAGAGCACTTTGCAGTCCTGGAAAGTCTTATTTAGGGTGATGCTGCTGTGACAGCTGCTGGTAACTTCTTTTATCCCGTCCCTACTCTTGTATCCCTGCAGTACTTCCCACTGGCAATTGTGGGTTTGTATGTTACCGGATTTGAAGAGGATTTGGTTGTAAAATATAACATGTTAATCATGCTGTGCAACACTCTGATGTTCTTTATAGCTAAGTTCAAGTGATGAAAAGACACTTTATCACATTCTCTACTGGCGTTTTTTCCACAGATTTTAATAACTAAATCGACCATAAATTCAGTGTGGTTTAGTTTTTCTGTTGTAAATCCTCTCTGCCCTGCTTTTTTAATAAGCAAATCAAAAGACAGCTCTGATGTAAGTTGTCTTGGAGTCATCTTTTTCTACTTCTCATGCTGAAGGGGATATTAATTTCTAATTTTATTCATGCTACTCTGTTTTTAATTTCGTTAACTGTTTGAGTACTCATTCTTCTTTGCTTTAAAACTAGAAATTCCCAATGACAAAATGTCAATGGCTTTTTGATTATATTCAGTGGGTGTAACTTCCTGGACAAATGCATCTTGTATTTGGCAATCATACTTTAACTGCTGCTTTGTGACATACTGTGTTTTTAATTAGATAATATGAAGGACTAATACACTGTTGTGTGTCATGCCGTGGTGTTATCAGTCCCACAGATAAACGCATTCCCACTGATAGCATTTGGGAGATGACGTTTGCGCGAGGCAGGACAAGTACGCGTCTGTGTGATGGCATTGTGTTGCCAGAGTGTCTTTGCCAAGGGGAAAGCTGTAAAGAACATGTTTACAGAAGTCTAGGATCCTGTCCTGGTGCCTGCCTCCTAATTCCTAGTGAGCAGCATGCAAAATTAACATAAACAGGCCATTGAAAGTAGGTTCTGCAGAACTCATTAGTTCACAATTGGACTGTTTTCAAACTCTGGGAGATAGTGAATGCGGGACGGGGCTTTTTGCCCAGTTGAAGTCCCTGTAGCTGCTGAGCAGTTCTGTGTCATTCAAATACAGTAATTTAGGAAAATGGAAGTGTGCCTAAAGATTGAGAATAGCTGATTGGTATGAAGGGATGAGCGGATTTAAGGAATTTGGATTTTTTTAAAGATTTTTGGATCATGTCACAAACGGGATTTTCATAGGATTTGTAGATTTATTCTTGGCTGTGTGTAATTCATGCAGATTTCAGGGAGACAGATTTTTTGTTGTCTATTGTTTCTACCAGCATTTTAGTTCACTAAGCAGAACTGGGAAAGGAAAATACATAGGATTCTTTACAGCTTTTTTTAGATGCATTTTATCTGTTTTTAGAATATATTTTCACTTATATTTACTGTGAGGTTACTTAATGGCATTACCACAGTTTAGCTTGGCCTTAGGTGACCTTTGCCGCTGGCCTTAATGTGGTATTTTGGCAGATTAGTAGTGAGTAGCACTAATTAGGCCTTCTTCCTGAAAAGTTTGCAGGGCGTTTGGTCTGATGTCTCAGTCCTGCTGCAAGCCTCCCTCTTGTTAGGCAGGGGAGTGTTGGTGAATTACTGCAGGGTTCTCCACTCTCCATCACTTGTTTGGCAAACCTGCTTTTTTGTGGAGGTGGCCCACCATAGCATACTGTGATATTCCTGATTGATCTTCTCATTGGCAATACTAGTGACGGGTAAAACCTCAGCAGTCAGGGACGGTGGGAGCTCTGCTCAATATAGCCATTGTGCTTCAGCTTGTGGTAAGCAGGGGGTGCTTCTTAATTAGGAATTAATATTCAAATGCTTCTGGGGAAAAAAAAAAACAACCACATTCCAGCCTCTTTGGGTCACAAAATGTCAGTCTGATAATGGCACCCACATCTCTGACTTTACTTACTGTCGGGGGAGAAAAAACCAGATTTATCTCTGAACAAACTTAGTTATTTTTGTTTTCTCTCAGTCTGCGATTGTAATTAATATTAAGACACTCTCTAAAACAAGGAATTTATTATAATGCAAGGGTGAGGATGGCTTCTATTGACCTTTCCCTCTGCTGGAGTTTCAGTGTTTTAGTATGTGCTGCTTGCACTGGAAAGAATTTATAATCACAGGGCTGTCAAAGACAACCATTGTTCTCTCTGCTCTGAACATGTGGGTCAGCTACAAGTGCTTTCATATCCCCCAGAGCCAGGAGCTGGCAAAGAGTAAAGAGCACAACTGAATTCTTCTGAGGCATCGGGAAAAGCATTTTGCATATTTTTCATTGCTGATTTCTTGAGAAAGACATCCCTCTTTCATAACAGGAATTTCTCTTCAAGGTAGACGGAGGCTGGGGCACACTGCTTTATTATTTTGCCGAGCTGAAGCAGCAACAACAAATGCTGTCTGCTGGGGTCCTGGCCAGATACAATAGATGGGCAAGGAGAGGCGGGGGGATCTTTTGGAAAGCAGCAAACTTAAACCTGATGCAGGCACGATGTTAAAATTGTAGTGCCTTTGGCTATGCTATGGACTGTGGACGACAAGTCAAGTTTCAGGTTACTTTCACTTTTGATCAGTTTATTAACTGGTCTATTGGAACTTTTTCTCAGTTCATTGTACTAATCTAATGAAAGTAGTTTCTTCTTAAACAGCATAAAACTGGTTTATTGCAAGCTTGCACTTTGTTTTGAAGGGAAGAAGGGGCAAGAACCAAGGAAACCCTCTTTTGGGGAGGAGATTTTTAATATTTGGGAAGATGCTTTGTTTTTAGTGTGTAATGCATCTCACGAGTATGTCAGTACCTTCTTTATGGAGAGGTTCCTGCTGTATTCCATGTAGGAAACAGAGGATATTGAGAGCCCCAAGCGCAGCATTCGTGACAGCGGCTATATAGACTGCTGGGACTCTGAACGCAGTGATTCCCTCTCCCCGCCTCGCCACGGCAGAGATGATTCCTTTGACAGTCTGGACTCCTTTGGCTCCCGCTCGCAGCAGACACCATCTCCAGATGTAGTGCTCAGAGGGAGTAGTGATGGTAAGTACCACTCACAGTGGGGCACATGCATAACATTGTGACATAGAAGTAGCGTTTCTGGAATAAATGTGCCATTCAGAAGCTGCACACAGCCTCTGAATCGGGCAAATCCGGTGGGAGAACTTCTCTGTGAATGCTGATCTGTGCTCCCTGGGGTGTAGATGACTTTGCTAACAGCTTACCTGAAGTTTCTCTCAAGATAGTGTAGCACTGGGAAACAAGTTACATCATTGAAGTGTAATTTTATGATGGGAAGAGTGTTTTTCTGGGTTTTGGTGTAAGAGGATGTTATGCAGACTCTTTTAACTTACAAACTAGGCTGAAGCAAGACATAAAATTACAGGAACAGGGTATAGTGAATTGTAGTGAATAAAATGTTTGCTTAAGTAAATGCAGGGTAGATAAATGACATAGAAATATCTTGAGAATGTCTGATACTTGGCAGAGGTTTGAATGCTGATGTACAGCACTTTATCAAATGTCATATATCTTTTTATGGCATTTAGAAAACTGGGTAAATTAATGCATCCCAGCATCAGAGCTTTGTACACATTTGTGAGAGGACAGGCAGCTCTAGGCATACAGAAGGGCTGCTGCTTCTCTGCCTTTCATTTCTGATTCCAGCAGGTTTTCAGAGGCTTGTAAACAGAGCATGCTGGATGAAGAAGGATTTGCTAGGAATAGGTGTGGAGCATGCTCGTAGGTTACCTGTCATGAGTAGGATTCTGGTTTAGGACAAAAGGATGCATGATTGAGGCTCTTTCTGTGCGGTTGCATTCCTGATAAACAGATGAATAAGTCAAACTTCATTAGATGAAGTTATGTTGCACACATGAATCACTTTTCCTTAGTAATGTTGTTTATTTAATTTAAAAAGGAAAGGCAGGAAGATTTTTTTGGTAGGAACCAGATGTTCATACTGCTTTTGGCAGTTTGAAAGAAACTGGTGCTAATCATAACCGGACACATGAAAGATTTCCTGAGGTGATGGGGAACTCCTTAGAACTGGAAAGCTGGCAGAGAGAGCTGGTATCACAGTAGAAAGAAAGAGCCCTGGGAAAATCAGAGCTAAGATCAGCTCTGCTGCTCTGAGTAGCCTGTGGTGTTTAGGCTGTTACTGGTTGACCATCCAGAACTAGCTACTGGGGCTGATTCCCTGAAACAGCCTCATGACCTCTCAGACACTGAGCAGAGTATAGGCTCCACGTTATAAAATGCTTTTCTGCTTTCTCAAATGAGACAAGCATGGTGTTGGCAAATAGGAACACCTCACATGTCCTAATCGAAAATTAGACCCTGGGTGCTCAAGGGATGTCCAGTGTCCCTGCTTACTTGGATCTGCTAGACAGCCAGTTACATGTGTCCTGTAGATGCTTCCTGTCAACTTCTGCCATATTATCAGATGTTAGAAAGGTTTTGTGATTGTTTGCCACAGATTGTTTACTAAGACATACTATCTTGTCACATTCCTGAGTGCGTAACAAACACAAAATAAGATGAAAGCACACAAAGCTTGTTCTGAAAAATCAGTCTTTAACCAGGGTGCGTGCAGATGCTGTGCGCACATGTACGACTTGTCCAGCCAACACTTTCTAATTTGTCCTATTTTTCCTTCTTACTACTGCCATAATTTCACAGCTGTCTCCTCCAACAGTTGCAGGTGAGGTGTAACTTGGCTGACCTCTTTTATGTTGAACCTCTTCCTGTGGTCCCAGCAGGCCAGTTTTACTCAGCTGTTAGTAGTTTTTGATAGAAACAGTATATTGGACACAATGATCTTAGAGGTCTTTTCCAACCTAAACAATTCTGTGATTCCATATGCAAAGTTGGATGGAGGAAAACATTTTGCTTTCATTACTTCTCTCTCCATTCAAATAGGAGCTTTATAAAGCACATAATATTATTGTGAAGTAAAACTATGATTCCACTCCTAGAAGAAATAAAAGCCTGAATGGACATTATTTAAATGATGCTAAGGTGATTAGTTTACGTGGAAGCAGTACATAATACTACCTTCAGAAATGCCGTCTGTGATTACTTTCACTGTTGAGGAACTGCTCTGGTGTCCCATGGAGAGCCTGTCCCTTAGCAAAAAACAAACAAAACCAGTGGTAAAGTAAAACAGTTATTTAAAACACAGTAGAATTGCAGACTGAACTGTCTTTAGAGTTGCCAATTAATAAAATGCTCTTCTTGGCCAGCAGTTGTGCATGGATCCTTTTAAGAAGGATCTTTGCATGTCTGTAGTGTATAATTGCTTGTTACTAGTTGTGGAAACTGATGCTACTTCTACTTGAAAATGCAGAACAACAAACTTCAGGTTATAAATGTAGAGCACAGCTGCATCTTCCATTCGGTACTTTGGCTTCAAGTACTTCTTTTGCAAATTTGAGCTGAAAATAATTTCATGAGTGAAATAGCTATGAAGATATGAATAATTAAAGAAGCTTCTTTTCTTTGAAGTACTCAGCTTGGGGGTGCTGGTAGGCACATCAGTAACAAGAGGAATGTGTTCTAATTCCTCTGCTACTCTGGTTATCTATTTCAGCCTTTCTGTCTGCCAGTTCAAGGCTGGTTTTGATGTGTTACAAGAATAGACACCAGAGCAAAGTCAAAAGCAATCAGAATAGCAAATAAAAGTGAGGGATTTTTTTCTTATATTTTACTTACTCTGTGCCCTGCTTTCTGTAGTGACATTACAGCCCTTTAAACCTTAGTTGTCCTCAGACACCCATGATTCTGTGATGGTATCTCCACTTTTTGTTTAGACATAGATTCAGAGTATCAATTGTGGTGCTAGTTGTCAAAGTTCTTAACAAAAATTGTTCAAGCAAAAGATTGTTGACAAAAAAATGCATTGTGATTTCTGTTTAACATTCATTTCCATTGTGTCATGTCTTTTTCTACTGTTCGTTTTCACTCTTCTTCGTCTCTCTCCAAGAAAATCACGAAAAACTCAATCTACTGTAAAAGCTCTTTGCAAATAACATTCCTAGCATATTTAGATCTCTTTTTTCTTCCCCCACTTTGAATTATACACAAACTACTTGTAATTTTTATGACTTCATTGTTTGCAGTTGTTCAGTATGTAGCACAGCAAATTAGCTATTAATTCACTAGTGTTTTGAATTAACAAGAGGACACAACCTGAGTGGCTTCCCTTCACCCTAAAAAGGGGAACAGCTAAATGTAGATGCTAGTGCTGCAAAGGGGCCAAGGACCAGAGACATCCAGCTCTCCAGATCTTGGAGAACATGCAAGTGCTGATGGGACAAATGGCTGAATGCACTCCGTTTCACTCTTCATATCAGGGCCCGTGGTAAGGTTACACTGCTGGGAGAAAACTACTTGCGTAACTTCTTTGTGAATTATTTTAAAAGGCTCGTGATAGTGCAGGGTATCTAGGCTTTCAAAATGGGAAGTTCCACACTGCAAATGCTCTTTAGGGTGTTTCTCCTACAATTTGGGAGTTTCAAGTCAGAAACTTGCCTAAGTTTCAGTGTTTTAAATGCATTGTAAATATCAGGAAGTTTAGTTCATTTGAACAAAATCAAATGATTGCCCAGCTCTGCTAGCCTCGTATCTTATTCTCCCAGACTCTCAATTTTTCTCTGCCACTTTATTTCTTCACTGTACTGATCTAACATCTAAATCCTGAGATCGCTTCCTTCTGTCCTTGCACCTGTCCATCTGGTGATCAAGTCTCTGTCTATTCTGCAGTGTGCTAGACTGATTGACTAGGCAACCAGTGACACTGGAGAGAGACCATCGAGCCTTCTGGTTCGCAGCAGCAGCTGCTGTTCTCAGATCTTGACCAAAGCTGATGCTGTCTGTGTTCCTGTGTTCAAATTGCTGTGTGTGTAGGAACATTCACATATTCCTGCCATTCTGTAGCTATACAACATGGAACCTTTTTTTGATTGTGTTTGAGTGAGGCACCTATTAGTCTAGGTTCAAGACTGTGAATCAGATCAGACATGCCCTTATGTACAATTAGGAGTCATCTGGGCTTTAGGTAAACTTCTGTCCTATGTGATTGGCAAGTCTGGCTGAGTTTTAACCTAAGGTTTTTTGATGTAGTCTGTGGCTGAAATTGAATTTTTCAGGGAATGGTGGAAAAAAGTTTACTGTCTATATAAATATTGTGGCTACTACCTTCAGTGACTGATCTTAAAATACAAATGCAGGTAAAAGTGGCTAAATGTAATTTTTTGGTGGTATCTTCTCTGATTTGTCGTTTAAAAATAATCTGAACAACTGGATGTAAGTGAAAATAAGAAGGAGCTTTTTTTTCCTTCTTCACTAGGGAGAGGAAGTGACTCGGAAACTGACCTGCCACACAGAAAGATGCCAGATGTGAAAAAAGATGATATGTTGGCGAGGCGGACCTCACATGGTGAACCTAAATCAGCTGTGCCTTTTAACCAGTACCTCCCAAACAAGAGCAATCAGACTTTCTATGTACCTGCTCCTCTGCGGAAGAAGAAAGCTGAGCGAGAGGAGTACCGAAAGAGCTGGAGCACAGCGACGTCACCGCTAGGAGACAGACCTTTCAGGTAAGACCAGCCCGCCCACCTCCTCCTTTCCTCACTGATGATGCTCTAACACTTGCCGAGTTTTCATTCTTTTCACAAGGTGTATGATGCTATAATAAATCTCTTGCTGGTGTGGTACTGATAAGTAGTTTTTAGCAATTGGTGAAGCTAGTAGAAAAGCAACAAGTGGAAAATCATTGTTGTGATGTCGTGATTTACCATACAATGCAATGTATAGCTTCTGTTTGAAAATATTGGTTAATGTAAGTAACGTGGATGTTTGACTCAAACCCAAGGCTGGAAAAACTGTTCGAGACAATCTGTTTCAGTTCTCTACTGACAACTACTGACAAATGATAATTAAAAGTAATGTTTTATATATTTAATCAAAATAGATAATATTTTTGCTGTGGGTGTTTTTTTGTAAAGTAAATTTATTTGTATGTTGTATGTAATACACCAGTATGGTTTATATAGTTGTGACTCTGTGTGTGACTCTGCATGCTGGTTTTGTCAACTAATACTTCACTTTTGATTTGGACTAAGAAACAGCCTCCTTTAAAGAGCATAATTATCTTCCCCGATTACTCATCAGAATTCATCCTTTGGCATCTTGACTTCAGCAAAATACACTTATAAGTATGTATGTTTTAAGCACAGCCTACATTAAACTACCTTGTATAATTCAATAGCAAACCCCACCCTGAAACCATAGAAGAAGAACTGAATGAAACATCAGGATTGTGTGAAAAGGAGAAAGTGGGCTCCATGGCTCCTGAAGCAAGCTCCCTTAAAAATCAATTAGGTGTAAATCAAAGTGAAGAAAACTCCATAGATCAGTCTCCTTCATGTAGTGCAAAAGAAACGTCAGCGCCCAAGGAGAAAGATGTGGAAGAGATCAGAAAGTTAAGAAGACTGGAACAAGCTGGTATTAAGGTCATGTCAGCAGCCCAGCGCTATGGCAGGTTAGCCCAACGGTGTGGGAAATCGTGCACGCTTCACGGTTGTAGGATTGGTTGAAGTGTGGGCTTCCTTGATCCGCTGCGATTTCACATCTAACAAAAATCCAGCCTGCTAAGCACTCACAATTGCTAGTGAAGGTCTTGGTTTGAAAAAGCTTGTGATGTGGCAGCTGTGGATTGCAGAGTTGTATGATGCTAACTGCATTTGTGTTGAGAAATTATGTTGTCTTACAGCATAATGTAAACAGGCTCCAGGAAAACTACTACACAGACTTCTTGTCACCTTCCACTAAATGCTTTCTTGTATTTAATAAAAATATATAGAAATCTACATTAAATGCCTAGTTTAGGTAAAAGTTTCAGAAATTTACATTACTTGTTGCTGGTGGGATGGTTTAGTTTACTGAACCACACTTTTTAGGTAGTTGATATTTTTAGCTGTGTTAGTAAATGATACATTATTTTTGATGGCAGGAACTATAAAAACACAGTGCTTGTTATCACATGTACCAGTTTAGGCATAGTTCAGCAGACATAATTTGCCTGACTATAGAATGGAATATATGTAGTTATTTGCTTATTATCTGTCTTATTTATTTTTGGATGTTGTTCAATTTGGATATTTCCTATTCTTTAACTTGAGAGCTGAGTGATGGCTAGGTTCACAGCCCATGCCTTTCCATCATCTCAATCTCTTCTACTCATGGGGATGACCTGCAAAGTGGAGTTTTAGCTAACATGTCAGAAGATAAGGCACTTATAAACAATCAAAATGGTTTGGCTAAAGGGTAGGTGTCCAAATGTCCTCCTGTCCAAAACATTTTGTTTTGGATTGTGGGATGAAACCCTAACAGTAAGTAGTTTATCAATTGCTGGTCTACAGTCTGGGCTTTGAAATGTAGTAGGAAGAAATGCAGCTCATATGTGGTACAGTTTATTTGTAGGTGCAGTGAAGCTACTGTGCAGCCACACACAGATGTGCCATATGCAGGTAAAATAGTCACAGAATATATGCTCTCACAGGTCCTCTTCTCAGGTCTACTTCACTGTTGTCGAGCTGTACTGAACCAGTGTTTATTTCTGGTTGTGTGGTGTTACTTTTGACAAAGCCCAGTACCAGTGATGAGGGGCTGTCTGGCATAAATTAGTTCTTCAACCTCACTTAGTGTGCTAGTCAATTGGGAGTCCATAAACCAGAGGGGTATTAGCATAATTCTATTCCGAGTCCAAGGCTGTAATATTAATGGTGGTAATGTAGTAATATGTAATAAAACGTAGTCATTGCTTGTGTTTAGCAGTGCAGTGCATAACAAATAGGTCTGTTTCCATTTGGAGGATGCTCACCATGTTGAGAGACCCTTTTCCAACTCTGTGCTTGATCTGCTGTTTTGATGTCCACAAAGGAAGGATGTGTGAACAAATGTGTGGTTCTTTCCTTGGATAATCTGTTGTCCTTACAGCCCTTATGGAGAAGGGAGGAGAAATAACAAGTAATTTTTCTTCCTTGCTCTCAGTGGAAATGACTTGTGGAATTTGGCAGCTGGAAGAAGGAGGAGATAACCGTTTTCTGTTCCAGCTAAGGGTCAAAGAGCAGAGCTTTGTAACCCAGGCATCACTGGAGCAAAGTAGGAGCCTGCTTCTGGGGATTGTAGGAAGAAACAGCAGAAAAGGCACAGGAGACAGAAGTCTGTAAGGAAAATTCTTTGTATGTGAAAGTGGAAGAATAGTGGGTGAGGAGAAGGGAAGAATTTAGTAGTGACACTTTAGGATACATTTAACCATATTTCTTAATGTCTTATTATACTTCTCTGAACATCTCCATTTTATCTCTCTTCTTGGCATCAAGTTCAATTTCCCATGCACTAACGGCATTCAGCAATTCTCAGTCCCTCTTGTTTATGTATTCTGATTTTTTTCTTTCACCCTTCTTACTTCCTCATCTTTCTCTGATACCAGCCTTTCTTCTGTGTTTTCACCTGAGGTTGTCAGTTTTATTTTAGTTCCTGTGAGTTGTTTTCTCTCAACTTAATGGCCTCTGGAGGACACCCACTGTGACTTTTGAGTTCTACAAGGCATCTAATTGTTCCTAAAGCTTAAACTCAGTAGGGGACTTTTCTGAGTCCTGAACAGGAAAGATTTGAACTTGTATGCAAATGTGTTTTTTGCTTGAAGTGTAAGTGCTTATCTCCATTACTGTAACATGTTCTAGGAAAGAGCTGCTTTAGTTATCTGAATTAGATGTGATACAAATGCATGCCAAAAAGTAATTCCCCTTCCCAAAAGAGTAAATTGTCTCTGTTGCATGTTGTTTTATTGATATGTGATCCTTCTTGCTTGCTTACTGCCTGCACATCTGTCTCTTAATTACTGTGTTGTATATGAAAGGTAGGGATCCCATTCATGGAGACACCCTAAAAAGAAAATAATTAAGTGTTTTTAAAGAGATGATGGAGAGGGGAATTTAATAGAGAAATGTGAGCAAGCTTTTATGATATGTTCATTAAAATAACATGGACTCTTACCTTGACAGAGCATAGGGATCCAAAATCCCTCCATTGTTCTGAAATGCAATATAAGCATCCACAAGCCTGTATGAGACCTTGCTTCAGGGAGTGCAAATGTCTGCAAGTCACTTTGGAAGCACCTGCTGTACCAGCATCGACCCATTTACTGTTTCTGCAACAGCTGGGGCTGGGTGTGCAAGAGCAATTTGCAGCTAAATCTCCTATTTAGTATTTGCTATCTATACTACGGTAAACTGACCTTAAAAAAACCCTTTTGAGATCATGATAAATTGTGTCAGGGGACGCCAAAATGTCACAGCTAATCTTTGATTCCATGAAAAAAATAGTAAATGAATGGAAAATATTCTCAACCTGGAAAGTGATTACTGAAGTCTAGTTACATACTAAAAGCCATGAGTTTCTTATTGCAATGACTCATAGTTGCACATTTGAGTACTATAACTCAGTATATCTTTGTTGCCAAAATCACTGCTCTCAGAAATTCTACATTTGATGCTCTCAATCTTCACTGCTGTTGGTGGACATGAGACGGAAAAATCCATCAGTTTTTACTAAATAATCACTTGGTGAGCCAGCTGTTTCTGAAGCTGTTGTGAGCACAAATATTCATGAGGAAAAGGGACAGCAGTTCCCATTTGGAATGCTATTGGCCAGTGTTGTTCTGTTGCTTTAAGTGAAATTTTCATCCTTCAGAGAGATCTAAGGAAAAATTTGCCTTTAGCTAATTTGAGACCATATTCTCCACATCACTAACAGGGGATCCTGTATTTTGCAGCATGAGAAGGCAAAGGCAGACAGTTTCATATGTCCTTTGAGCCTGAGCCAGGCTGGTCTGCCAGGCATGGTTTATGGCTTCCCCATAATTTTCTCCAGCAACTTTGTGGAGCAGTACTTTGAAAGGGCAGCTGAGAATGTAAAATAAGTGGTGTATGTAGTGGGCTTGCAGGGACTTAAAATGTTTTTAAAAAAAGCAGTCTTTAAATTTAAGATAGTAAAGAAAGTCAGAGCAACCTCTGAGCTATTTAGATTCACTTTCTTAATGCCAGTCTTTTGATCCCCTCTGTTTTGCTTTGTATAGCAAGGTGTGCTGCATGAATGAGCAAATGCCTACAAAAGTATTGCATGGAACAGTCCTTGCTGCCCAACTTCCTAAAATATCAATATGGACAATTTGATTTTTAAATGTGAGAGTTGCCTAGCTCCTGCCATCTGTCTTTCCAGTTTGCCTAAGAGTATTGACCCTTACAAGTTAAAATAAGCTTAATCTTTATGGGTACCAGCTGTCAAGTGTCTTTACTGTCATAATCTTCAGTAACAGCAAGGCTGTGTTGATAGCAGTTGTGTTTCTGACGAAGGCAGGTGGCAATATTTTCTGGCATGCCAATATCACTGGTGTGCTATCATTGCAGCTACTGTATGTCAGAAGGCACAGAGGCATAGAGGGATTGGCATAGAGGGCTTATTCTGTGGGAAAGGAAATGTTAGTTAGGAAAAGAATCAATCATGGTGCATGTGAGAAGAAAGCAGTTAAGAATACTAGGGTAGACAGGCTCTGTGATTACTCAGATGGGTTTTTGGGGTTTTTTTTTTCTGTTTTTTTGGTTTGTTTTTTTTTTTTTTTTAATAGAACTATTAATAAAAGTGCCAAATATCTGGTATTTCAAGACTCAACAACATTTGCCAGGGATCAGATATTTGCATCACATTTCTTCCTTTGTTTGAAATGCTCAAGAAGTTTAATACTGCCAGTTATGGTACTACATTCACTGCATCTCATATGCTAAAATTTGTTCCTACTGATTCTTCCAGCTATAGCTAAAAAAAGTAAAGGTCCAGCATGCTGACTTTTATATGTAAAGTCTTTGTGGATTTGCCACTTTATATGATAAATTTTATTTCTAGCTAGGCTTTGTGCAGTCTAACAGCAGCTCGGAGCTTATTTGATTGCCTATGCTTGTTTTTTGACCTGGAGATGAGTGTTGCACTGCCCGCTCCTCCCCTGGTGCATCAAGAGCTTTATTTAATTTTGCTCTGTGTCAGTAAAAAGCCAATATGCGAAGACAGCGGAAGCACCCCAGACATCATCCTTCGCAAGGACAACCCCTTCATGACACATTACCAAGGAAAGGATTCTGGTTCAGAAGATGAAGCAGCCAGCAGAGTTCCAGATTTAGAAAAGGATGACTTTGCCACCCGGAGAGCCAGAATGAATCAACCCAAGCACATAGTTCCATTTAACTCCTTTTTAGTCGGACCCTATACAAGTAAAGAGAAAGGTAAACCGGAAGATGTTAAAAAGCCATTGCAGATGGAAAAAAAGGAACATGCAAGGTGTGCATTCATAGTCTTATTCTTTCAATTGCAATGCTTAATTTCACCATGATATATTGCTGTATAGGCCTAAAGCTGTCTTGGCTACAAAAAATACCTTACAGGTTAAAGTAAATGCAAATGCTTTATCATAAAGTGAACCAAACTTTTTTTTTGTTGCAGTACAAGGAGAAGTATTTATTGGCTGTGAGTGTAAATAAGACAAAGGTGGAACACTTTTGTTATCTAAACTTGTAAGACAGGTCACGAGCATGAGTACTGGAGAATAAACTTAGAAAATATGTTTTGCATCTCAGCTCTTTTTCTGATGACTTTCAGTGCCTGTTTTTCGATCCATTTCTTTCATCTCACGCTCTTTTAACACCCTGCATGAAACACGGACCAGATGAGTCTTTAGTGAAGGCACTGAATACATATGCCTGCTACACTGCACTGAATTATGTTGCACCTGGTCCTAATGTGTGTTATGCAGCACTGGTTTGGGAAGTGGATCGGGGGTTACAAGGCTTCAACCTAGAAAATCTCTTTTTTCTTCAGCTCAGTGATACAGACCTTTAAGAAATTGCTGAACACAAATATTTGCTAGGTAGAGATCTTTTTCAGGAAACTGTTTTATTTGAGCAAACAGATGTGATTCTAGATAAAACCATTATATACACATTACAGGGACCCTTAACTGTAACAACTGATATGTTCAGAAAGCTTCTTCTAATATTTAAGAGCTCTTTTCAATTTTCAAATGTCAAATGTGCCATTCAATTGCTGGTCATTTGATTATATTAACATTTTCTAATGACTAGTTTGGCAGGACATCTGAGGAGCACCTAACAAAATTTTAATAGTCCAGTGCTATTGACATGATTCTTAAGATCAAAGAAATTGTGTAGTATGTTTGAGAGCAAAACCTGAATTCGCTGTGTGAATAATATTTCAATGAGATATTTGTAACTATTTAAAAGAAAGCTTATTGCAGAAATGCTTAATTCAGTAATAACATAAAGATTTTTCTTACTTGAGCTGGGAATAGAAGTTCACATGAAGAAGTGGTCTCAGTAGTGCATGAATGGGGTAGCATAGCTGAGAGGTTTGAACTTCAAATGATTCATTCCATGTTTACTTCCTAAAATTAATGTGAAAGTAATATTATAAATTCAGTTTTATATTCTTGAGCTCTGAGCCTCTTCTTTTGACACTGATTTATAATTGCTTCCTCAAAATATCTTTCCTTGCTGAACTGGAATGTGCATTAAATTAGAAGAAGACGGGTGCACATGACATCAGTAAGGCAAACAGTTACAAGCAAAGAGAGCCCACTTCTGCAAAATGAGAAGACTGAGTCAGAGGAGGAACAGCAGGTGAAAGAGCTTGATAATGAGAGAGATGATTTGGCAAAACAGAAATCTCAAAGCATCCTTCCTCAGCTACAAGAAGATGTGCTTTTTGTCAATGCCTCTATAACAAAAGCAGATCTGGAGACCTGGAAAAGATTGAAACTGTCAGGAGAGCCCAGGTATGGTTTCTGCTTGTGCATAGGATTGGCACCCTGGGAAGCATGTTTAGTTTGCCACAATATGCTGTGTGTGCTTGTGACTTTAAACTTGAAGAATGCCTTGTTGACAACAGTCCTTATCTATTTCCGTTTTCAGGAGTCCAAAAATCTGTACAGATATGCTGTCTGTCATGAAAAGAAAATGTGTCCATCATTTAGAGCACTATAGTAGCTTCACAGTCACTTTTCTTGTAGATATTCTTAATACAATATCAGAAAGGTCCCTCTTGTCATGTGGCTGAATTTGCTTTGAAGGTGCTTGAAGTTTAACAGGACAAAGTTCCAAGTGGTACCCGCTACTACGCTAGTAACTACATTGCTCCTTACCAAGCTGTCTTCAGGACTCAGGGTGTTTTATACCTTGGGACTATTATCTGAGGATCAGCATCTTTGCATTAATGTCTCTGTGCTATTTTGAGACCTGAGCTGATACATCAGCACGACAATAGTACTCCAATGCTGTACACCACCACTGTTTCTCCTTGCAGCAGGGCTTTCAGGAGCCTCACTGTATGGTGTTTGTATGCTCTTGTTGTTAACAAAATCTCTACAAAGGGAGCCAGTATGAAGCAGTTATTCTAAGCTGTTTCCCTGTGGAGGTGGACTATAACATAGGCAGGTGATTTGTGACTCCAATAGGAAAGGATAACAACTTCTGGCCTTCCTGTTTAGGTGCATGCCCTTTTGCAATTAAAGATGGCTGTCGGTTCTGGCATTCTTCTAACAATGTGGTTATTGTATGTGATTTTAGCTCTAATAAATCAAAACTCAATCAATCTTTCGTCCTGAAGGTATTAGCAATCTCTCTGTTACTTTTGAGATGATTTATTAAAATCAGGATTCAGTCTGCTTGGTTTAGGGTAAGTGAATTGCCCTTGCTACTGCTCCCATGCCACTGTAACTCCCTCGTGCTAAAGTGCGTTCTAGTGCCATAGTAACATATAGTGTGTGGCCTGGGTATATGTGAGCACATAAGGAAACTGTGGCTTTGTTAGGTGAAGAACTGAATTTGGAACAGCCATATACTACATTCCTTGCCCTTAGGAAGTGCTTCCATGTTTTCCCCTCAGGTGTGCTGTATCTTTGTGTTTCATATGTCATTTGAGACTCAGTATGCCACAGTTGTTTATACCTGTGTCCTCGAATTTTAAAATAAAACCCCTTCAAAACCTTAGGAACATTTAATTTGTTTTATTCTGAGGGTCTCATGTTGGGGGCATTCTTTTATTCCTCATTATGACCAGTGAAGAAGATTTCAGATGTTCCAGCAACACTGTGCCACCGTCTGATACCACGGTGAAAGCGGTAGCCCATGATGATTTTGCTATCCGCAAAACCAGAGCAAACAGAAAGGCTGGTAGCCCCAAGCAGAAGTTTGTGCATTTTGGGCCAGTAACTGAGATTGATCAACAGAAATGGGACAAGCTCGTTATTGGCAGAGCTTCATCCAAGAGTGGAACAGAAGAGGAAAGCAAGCAAGATGGTGTGGAAAGTCTCTCTGGTGTTGAAAGTTCTCCTCCAACCACTGTCAGTCTTGGGTTTGCTGAATACAGCAGTGAAGTATCTGAGCCAGAAAATGAGTCCAGGTATTTGGTGTGGTTTAGGAAGTGCTGCTGAGCTGTAAATGAGGCCTGTTCTTGCCAGATGCTGATCTGCATGGGAGTGAACTGCAACATAAACCCAAGAGCTGTTTATGCGCATGGCCTTGTTCAGAAGACATCTGATGTCTTCAGAGTATCTTGACATGTTTAGGGTTGCACAAAACGCTGTGCACAGGTCTTCCGAACGCTTGCTCAGAATTTCTGATGGGCAGTGAAGTCACTGGTATCTCAGAGGATGAGCTATCACTCATGCTTTTTCTGCTGCTTCAATTCCAGTAGCTTTGCTCTGCCTGCTTTCAGCACATTAGGAATTTGTCATTCAGCTTGCTGGCCGTACTGATCTTCAAAAAATGGTTTTTTCAAACCTAATGGATTTACTACTTTCTTTTTGAAGATGGTGTACTGCTGCTCTCTGTTTCTGGCATTTATCTGGAGAAGAATTGTCTGCGTCGTTTACACATTAACAGATCTTATATTTCTTTTAGCATAATCAATCTGTGGCTGCAGCAAGAACTTTTAATGAATGCTTTTAGCAAGCAATTCATTCAGCTAGGTTTGTGTGTATATAAAAAATTTGCAAACTGAGTTAGATGACTCCTTTTCATACCTTTCATTTGACCTGAGAACGTTTTGTCTGTCTCACCCCTCCTCTCATTCTCATCACTAGTGAGGGAGGAGTCAAGTCAGGTACAGATGACTCTTGCAAGAGAATTCCATCACCTGTACCAGCTTCTGGTGTCATCTCTGAGGAACAAACCCCACGGAGTTTGAGCAAACAGCAAGAAAGTGCCAAGGAAGAATGTGACAGGAATTTACCAGATATAGAGAGAGATGATATGTTGGTTAGAAGGATGGGAACTTTTCCAAGGCGTACCACAAGCTCCATTCCCGTAAATTGTCCTCCCTTGTCAGTAGCTCCTTATCTGCTGCAGCAGCAGCATCAGCAGCAAGAGGAGGCTGTAGCTCGTGAAAAGGATATGAAGACTCTGCAGGAAGGAGAAAGGTCAGAGAACAGAAGCAGATCCCTCTGAGCCTGGTTTGTGTGTGGTGTTAGCTTGGATCAGTCAGCAGTGTTGTCCCATTCTTCACATGGGCTTTAAAGATGTGTTTTACTCAATCATCATGGCCTGTGTTTTGTTTTGTAAAATCACTTACAAGAATGTATCCTATGAATATAAAACAGCCTGTTTTCTTTCATAATATTTGAGTACTTCAGTTGTTAATTGCTGTTCAGCATGAAAATAGTCTTTTATCTTTTGGGGGGATTTCTTTTGCAAACCATAGTGCTTTGTTTGGATTTTTATGCCAGCTCCCAAGTGAATAAGTCATTGCATAGATGTGTATGCAATTCCCACTTCTAACAAATCACCTACATAAGTGTGGGGTTCAACATAATTTCCTCTTACTCCTTGTGCTGTGGCTAAAGATGCCTGGTTTGTCTAGCTGTCCATCGTTCTCAGCTTTGTTTTGAGTAACAGTACCTCACATTGCCTGAGCAGCCACTTTCTGTATAAGTGAGCATGATCATGGAACAGTGTCACTTGTCTCTCTGAGCAGTACTGTCACACAAGACGAGAGCCAAGAACAGCTTGAAATCCCTCAGCTGCAGAGTGATGGAACAGAAAACAAAATGAAATTTCCAGACCCTCAAAGAGATGACATGTTAGCCAGAAGAACTGGAGCTTTTCTTAAACAGCCTGGGCCCAATGTTAAGCAGTTCCTTCCCATGCCCTTTTCAAAGCAGCAGAATAAGCAGGGCACAACCACAGAACTTTTGAAGAAAACCACGAGGTAAGAAAGTTGTGTTTTTCTCTGTCCTTTTTAGCTAGACCCGTGGGCTGTTTGTCAGGATCTCTTTATCAGGAAGATTTGCTGGTGGCCCAGTAGTGGTTATTTTCATGCTTGTCCTCAGTTCTCTGCTAATTCTTTCTGCTCAGTAGAAGGCAGTTGGAGGTTTCTGACCCTTTTAGAAAACTCACGTGGAGACTGAGACCAGAGCTCAAAATCAAAATCAGAGCTCAAAATCAGAACCAAAATTCTAACAACATGTGGAAACAGATCTGTGTAGCAAATACATTTGCATTACATTTGTAGAGGTTTCTGGTTAAATATGAGGTAATCATTGCAAATGTTTCCAGCTAGAAATGGAGATGCTGGATCTAGTAGGTTAGATGATTGTCTGTGGCTTAACTGGTGTCAGTGACTTCCGAACAGGAAATGTAGAGATCCTGAGATTCTTCCTGATAATGCTCAATGTCTTTCTGAGCACCTCTGTTCAGATGTTTGAGGCTATGTGAGTGTTGAAGCTTTGGAACAGAGTTATCATTTGGTGGTTGAGCCACATGCAAGCAAGAGTGGGAAGGTTCTTATTCATCAGCCTCTTCAGAGTACTTGAGGAGAAAAATAGGCATGCACCTGTACGGACATGGGTGAAATACTAGCTTTCATCTCAGCCAGGAGAAAACAAACCTGTCATCTACCATAGAATTCAACAGCGGCTTGGTGTTTAGTTTTCAATGGTGTTCTGGACAGTTTATTTTCTGATTTAAAAGAATGGTACAAGCACTTGACTCTTAAAATTACGGGGTTTGCTCCTGCCTCACTTAGCTTGTCCTGTGTCAGCTATTTGGATTTGTAGGTGCTGGTTGTTTGTTAACTTATAGTGATGCTTTTCATTATGTATGTGTGATTTTTGAAATGTTGCTTAAAACATCCCTTTACACTACTGCCTTTGGCTCACTCAGGCCTCAAAAATGTCCACAAGTCTACACTAATAGCTCTGGAAAACCTTCAATAGAACCACTGCAAGAACAGCAGCAAGGGCAGGAGGACAGTCTCCCACCTACAGGACAAGATGAGATTATTAGTACTGCCCAAGTGGCTGAAGATGGCAACAATGAAGTCCACCTTTTTCAAGCATCTAAGCTTCAGGAAGTCCCTGAGGAAAACAAAATGGAAGCACTTTCATCCAAGGATGAGCATCTGCAAACGTGAGCTTTCTGGTGTGAATCACTCAGCTTGTAAACCCCTGTGTGCACTCTTCAGAGTTCAGATTATGCATTGCCTGGTGTGTTTTCAATCCAGACTACAACACTGTATGTCAGTAATACACACTTTAGAAACAAAAATCATAGTAGTGTAATGCATTTTATTTTGATTTTTTAAAAATATTTAATTGAAGCTAAGTGAAAGGAATGTTTGATTACAGTATATATGTTGAATGGTGAGAAAAGTTTATGAAGAGGAGATGCTGAAATGGACTCTGCTCATTGAGAGATGCTTATTCTGTTTCTCCCATGATTAATGTTGTAGTATTGACTTCTGCACATGATGCTCTTTTCTGATAAATCCCATATATATATATGTGGTTTGCGTTGCTCTAAAGAAGACTACAATTTTACTGAATGCTGCTGGTTTGTGTATTGCCAGTAACTTTTTTCAGCTATACTCCCCCACTCTGAGGAAAGAAAACCAAAACCAACTAACAAAAAAAAAAACCAACCAAAAAGCAAACACAACAATAAAAAACTCCAAGCCAACCAACTAACCATAAAAAACCGAAAAACCCCCACCCAAACAAAAACGACAACAAAACAAATTAACAAAAGAAAAACCATAAACAAAAAAACAACTAAGAACCAAATAAACAAACAAAAACACCAAGGAAATCCCCAAGCACAAAAACAAGACATACAAAAAGAAAAAGGAAATCCTGTGACTCATTTTATGACTATAATATTTGTCTCTTTTGTGCTTCAGTAATAGTGGTACTAAGCACTGCTGTGGAATGTAACTGTTATGTTTTGTCTCCATTAATTGCATGTATGGCACCATGTAAATGCTAAGACATAGTCTATTTTCAATAACTATTTTCTATACACATTTTAGGTATACTTCAGCAGATTTTTATAATGTGGGGCATATATATGTGTTTAAGGAGGGATGGGTGGTGTTCTCGTGTAGTTTGACCTCAGGATGATCAGGTAAGTCTTGTTTGATGAGTACATAATCCCTGAACAGTATGGTTCTGTTTTGGTCAGCTTTACTAGTAGAAGTGACAGTTGTGCAAATTATACAGGTCCACTTGCAATTACTACTTAATTAATTTATCCACAATCTAATTTTATATTTGGTCTTGTAGATTCGGCCCCAGAACTGCTGTGTCTGATGACGCAGAGTAAGTTGTCTTGTGTTCACAAGATTCTGTTTTAAACAACTTACACTGCATGCTTTCCCATCTTTCTACTAATTTAAAATGCAGTTGATGCATCATTATTATTTTGCAGTGTTTTGGCAAATAAATTTTTCAGACAGCACTGAAAAATGGAATGCGATATGGCTTACATTGCAGTTAAAATAATTTCTATATAAAAGCCCTTAAAAACTAAGCATAACACTAATGTCTAGCTGTTGCTTAAAGTATTGTTTCTTCTTTTTTTGTTTTACTTTGTCTTGGATTTCTTCTGAATTTCCATTGCCTCTAATCAGCTACAGGTAAAGGAGTTGGGTTGTATCTGGGTGTTGAAGAAAAAAAAGAAGTATGAGGAAGAACAGGAAGAAATAAAGAAAGCCCAAAGCAAAATAATATCATTGTGAACTTCAGAATAATTACCAGAAAGATACATCTTTAGCTGAGCCTTTATTCTCTTTTTAAAGCTTTATATTCAATCCTTTCCAAGTTAGGTTCAATTTAATAATGTACTAAATTTCAGTTTTTAAGCTCTTCACCTCGATGCATCACTCGATGCATAGAAGGAGTAGAATTGACATTTGTTGCACTCAAACATTTTAATTGTTCATGTATGCATACAAACTTTAGTACAGAATAGTATGCAATTCATTTGGAAAGCTCTTTGGAAGTATTAGCTGTTTAGAAGAGAAATACTTGGGAATTACACACACAATAATATCCTTAATGTTCTTCTGTTCACAGAAATGCACATGACCTTGTCTGTGTCCCAGATTAAATCCCAAAATATAAACATTTTGGAGAGTTGTGGGGTTTTATAATGAGCATACACAGAGACTTATATGCAATTTTTCACTCTTTCCTCTAATGATAAAACTTAGAATCATGGACTAAGTGTTCTTTACAAGTTATTTAATACCTTTACACTGAGCAAAACCTCTGTTTTCTGACTACAGAGTAAGCATGATCATTTTCAAGCAGCAGGAATCTGTCCAGTCAAATGAAGGGGGAGATAAAAAGAGTAATATAACATAGAAGTGTTACACTTAACAGTGGGGACATTATGCTTATATGATTGATTTTTTCATCTGTGTATGTCTGTATTAAATGCAATAATGAGGGAAGGTACATGAAGATGCCTTCAAAGAGGCGTTGCAATGGTCTTGGTGGTATAACATGAGAGTAGCAAAGATCAGTATATCATATTGCTTATTCCATACTGATTATTATTTTATTTTAAAAGGCAAAACAATTAATATTCAAGCCTCATTGTCATCCTTTCCAAATGTGCTACAGTTTACAGAGCAACTATTTTCCTATACTGTCTTTTAAGTTTTTGTAAAAGTAAGACTGTGTTTTCCTTTCTGAAGACAAAGCATTTATGAAGACTCTAATAAGACTTGGCTCTCAAGTAGGAAAAATAAATTGAACTGGCATTTAAAATACTTTTTAAAGTTTGTCAAGTCCCCATGGAAAACTGTAACTTGAAATCAGTCTTAGACTAGATGCTCTTTATTCCAGCAGCAAAACTGAGGACTCTCTTATTAGACTGTCAAAGTTCCCTTCACTAGTTAGAGGAAGACTAGATATTGTCTTCAGCCCTGATCTGTCTCAGGGTCCAGAAGAGGCAATACTTAGTGTGTTGCTGCTGACAAGGCCCATTCCCATCTCCCAGAGAGAGAGAATTCTGGTGGTACCATGATAGTCCAACGTGAGTTTAGGCTCATAATGAGCCGAGATTTTTGAGTATTTCTTTACTAGTCTGATTTTGAGCCAGTCTGTCCCTTTTTTATGTTTATGTTTTTTATGTTTTATTGGAGTTTCTTAAGTCTTAATATGACTGTAAAATGGTAATGCAGCCACATAATAAATGCCTTACATAAGGATTGTTAACATATTCTCATAAGAAGGTTTTTTACCTTATCTCTCATTTTTAAATTAATTAATCTGAACATTGAAGTACTTCAGATTTCTTTTTTAATTCAAAATTTATTTAGACTTGTTAAAAAAAGAAATTGTTGCATGATATCACTGACAGCAACAACTGTAATTTGTGATAATAAAGCAGTGTAGCTTGAAAATCCCAACATCCCAAATACACTGTCAGTCTGCACAGTGCTTTTTCCCAGATCATTGTCAGAACGGCAGGTCTGTTACACTGGTCAGCAGAAAGGCCTCTTGCCTAACTCAGGACAGAGTTAGTATACAATCTCTGGAGCTGTGCTAATGGCAGAAAGTCAATGAACTTGAATTTGGTCCAGTTACATATTCCCTGTCTACTTGTGTGCTATGTGCCTGCTGGCCCAACATGTGGTTGAAGGGAGAAGTAAATCTAGTTCTGTTCATGGAGGTGTTAGTGATTGTCTGGAGTCATTTGTAGATTGTACAAGACAGAAATAGGATGCAATTATGTGGGACTCATAGTGAAAAGTGTCTTTGGATAGAAGCTCAGAGTTTTGGCCTCTTAGATTATTTTCTAAGGATGAAATTGTCAGAGAGAGAAGTTGGTGTAGACCTTACAGTTGGCCTTGTCCACATACTCAGGAAAGGGGTTTTTTCCTCTTAGTGGTTACTACATGTTGGCCAGAGTGGAGCACAGTGCTTTGAGGTGGAACTCCTTCAGACTGCTGTCTTGGGAAGATACTGTTGTGGAAGAACCTGTTGCTGCAGAGTTGAAGTTTGAACCCACCCAGTTGCTTATCCATGACAATGAAGGCCCAGCAGCTGGAGGTGACTGCTGGAGTAGGAGGTGCATCTGGGGTTGTAGTGTATAGTTTGACTCCTGGCCAAGGCTAAAGCCTTTTCCAGAGAACTTTTCTTACTGCATTGTTAATAGTTATAAAACCTGTTGCTGTCTTTGTGCACCCTGTGAGATCTGCATGAAATCAGGGAACATATATTAGACTTAAATTAGGAAATCCAGGTATTCCTGCTAGAAAAACAAAATGCTTCCATCCCAAATGGTGGAGAGTGTGTACTCATGCACTATACTAGGACCAGTAACCACCATTTCAAATCTTACCTTTTCTCCTACTGCATGTGAATGAAAAATTTTTTGACATGAGGAAAGAGTACAAGAGAAGAGCTACACAAGTAGCTACCCAGTAGGCACAAGGTATCAAATACTGAACACTAAAGGCATTCTTAGTGTGAGTTTCAAAAGCTCTTAAACTGGAATAAACCCTATAAGAGTGACCTTATTGCAAGTTCTGCATCTCCCAACCTACCTCACCAGTCTGCCAAATATGACTGATGTTTAAGTTTTAAAAAACAGCACTTGCCATTTCTTTAGGTTTTGTTATTTAGGAATGTTCTAATCCAATCCTGGACAATGCAACTGTTAAACTACCCACAATTAGTGTAAACGACCCAAATTAGTGTAACCCTCAGCACTCTGTTTAAGGGGTGAAGCACAGTAATATGTTAACTTCACTGTTCATCCTTAAAGGCAATAGGATGTTTATTCTGTCCTTCATTTCTGAGTAAATACCTACTTAGCAGGATGGAATCTGTGCATGTCCTTTTCCATACACTGTCCAGACCTTTCAAGTGTTTTCTTGAGAGTGGCATTCCCGTCTTTGCTTGCCTGAATACAAATGCTGGCTCATAAATATATGCACAGCTTTCCGTGAGTATTCACTTTGAATACTGTGGACACAGTTGCCGACAATTTTATCTTCATTGGGTGCTTCTCCTGCTAGTTGGTTCATTGGCTCACGTAAAGCTGCAGGTGATCATTTGAGGACTGCTGTGAAATCACTTCATGTGGAACTGCATGGCTTTCTTTTAAGTTTTTTGTTTTTTTTTTTTTTTTTGCTTTGAATGGCACAACTGAGGTCATGTTTTACTAATAATAGGTAGTAGAGGTGGAGTAGTAAGCATGTTATCTTTGTGTGAAAATCTTTATATAATATAAAGAGATGTATAACGTCAAACCATAACCTTTTTTCCCCTTTAGCTCTCTAAAGGCCAAAGACATAAATAGAAAAAAACTTTTTTTTTTCTTTTTTTTTGTCCTGGACGTCATATTTTCCTTGTTAGGTTAGCTGTATTAATAAGTTGGTGCTGGTAGCATTGGATTTCTTCAAGGCATAGAGGGGAGGAAAGGGGATAAAAGAAAGTACCATGCAGTTTGAACTGATTGTACTTTTCTGAGTTTGTAGCAATAGCATTTAGCTGGCTATGCTGCCCCTGATGTACTTCTCAAGACTTCTTTTACCCTGAAATGGAAAATTCTGTCTGTGGTGTTAATCAAAGTGATCTTGAAAACCCATTGGGCACAAATCTTCAGAAAGCAAAATGTTCTGAACGATAGAATTACTTTAATAAGAGCTGTTGATGGAAGTGTAAAGTCAGCAGTGTTTCTTAGTGAGTTATAAAGTTGTAGTTGACTAACAAAATGGGAAGTTGAGGAATGTAATGCCTGAAGTACTGTGTGGGAGCCATAGGGATGCTAACAAGCCCAACTTGAGGACTGCTGCTTTTGGAAGCTTTGTAACAGAGCAGGTGTCTGATTCTGCTGTAGCACCCTCATGTGGTTTCAGCTCTTACAAGCTGAAGGAGTATAAGCCTCTAAATAAGACTGGGCCTGTTGTTATTTTTCCCTTGTTTAGGAGTATGAGTATGTTTGACATGAGATGTGAAGAAGACGCTGTGGCTCAACCTCACAGCAAAGCTCGCCATGAGAAGCTGCAGAATATACACAACCAGCTGAAAGAGGACGAGACCAGGTGGCAAGATGTGAGTATACAACATTCAACATTGTCTGCAGTGCTGGCAGGCACTGAGGTCAGACAGCTAGGCAAAAACAGGACAACCTGCTAAATCTGCACTTGCTGTCAAGTGCTTAAAATAATAAGGAGAGCTTTTTTTTTCCCCTCAGTGGATTGTTGCTAACCATAGAAGTTCATAATTTATTGTAAATCGAATACAAGATCTTCCAGTCCCTCTGCCTGTTCACCAGGCATTTTGATTTAAAAAACAAATGTAAAGAAACTGTGATTAGGTAAAAAATTGAAGGAACAACTTTGAACTGCTGACTTCTTTAACTTTTCTAATCAGTCAGTGTCCAAAGTGACAAAATACAAGACTTAAGTAGGACAGGGAATAAATAGATTGGCCTTTTCTTTAATAAATTAGTGTAGATACAGAAGATGTTAATGTTTTCCATCTTGTCCAAGCAAACAAATACCACTTCATGTTAGCTATACCCTGCTTGGTTTACAAGGCCTTTCCAAACCCTCTTTCCTTGATGTGTTTTGTTAAGCTGTCCAAATATTTGGTATTGTCTACAGCAAATTAGCAAAGACAGAAAAACATGATCTGCAGGTAAGTTAGTATAAGAAGTTTAAGTTTCAATTCTGCTCATTCCTAAAGACTGATTTTAAATAAGGAATTTGGGATATATTTTAATTTTAAAAAACCCCAAAACACAATAAAACACATCTCTTCAAGTATGGTAGTTTCTCATTATAAGGAAAGCTTCTGTGAAACACCTCAGAGAGGTTTTTGGTAGAAAATTTAAGGAAAAGTTAAAAACAAGTTGTATATACAGCTAAGAAGTGACTTTTTATAGTAGAACAATGAAGGACTTCAGCTAAAAGGTCCTTATGTGTGGGAAGCCATAATTTCCCAGCAGAGATAAGAATAAATCCAGAGGCATTCAAGAAGTTTGAGAACTCTGCTGTTGAATTGAAAATCCTCTGAGCTAAAGTTCTTGCATTTTTCAGGCCCTCAACACCTTCTACCATGAACTAAAAGTTCTGAAGAAGTACTGAAAAGGCCCTTATTAGAATGTCCTTGGCATTCTGAGGGCTTTATAGAGACATGTGTCATGCTCTGATAGTTTAGATGCCCATGCTATGAATTTGCCAACAATTAACTGTTTCATGGGTTTGTAAAATTATTGTTATTCTGAAGCACCAGAACTGGAAAATATAAACATGTCTGGTTTTTAATTATGAAAAGAGAAGGAAGGCTTATGCTAGAAAATTTGCTAATGAAAAACTAATTTTCAAACAATAGACATCAGTGGAAGTAGCTGAATAAAGAAATACTTTGGTACTTCAATGAGAATAATTAGTAACTGAGGAAAATGATAGGCCTACGTTTCATAAAGGGGATTATAGACTGATATATGTAGGTCATGTGAAGAAGTACTTTAATGAACATTCCCTTAAGTGTAACATCAATAATTTGTGGTTTTAAGCTAAATTAAAAGTGACAATGTTTTTTTCTGGTTTTAATAAAATAAGTTATGCTTGCAGTACCTTCTGCTGTTTACCAATAAAAATGCAGTTAAAATATTTGGGAAACCATGTAATTAATGAAATAGCTCCTGAATTGAGTATGTGTTATGAATATCTGGGTTTTATTAAAACCAAAAATTGTTAGAGTGCACAAAATGTAATCTGTATACCAGTCTCCTGATGTGGAAAAGTTAATGACAAATGTTCCCTTCCAGTTTCCTAGGAAGTTATTTTTCTTTGCAGAAGTTCTGCAGTGCTTACTTTTTACATGTAAAATTTTGTTCTTTTGCTAGTTGTCTGAAAAGAAATTTTACAGTTTAGAAAACTTCTTTGCTGTAACACTTGTACTGTGAAAAAGATCTTGCTTCTGTATCCTCCAGGATTTGTAAATTCATAAAGGATTCAAGACATCACAGGGGCCCATAACAGGTACCTCCTGTGACTCTCTGGTTTAGTATCAGACTAGTTTTTCAGAAAAGGCAGAGAACCAGATTCAATCAATCTTCTGCACAATTTCAGGCAGGCAGATTCCAAAAAGACTGAGATGGTTACTTCAACAAGGACATCTCTATATAGCTGGATACAAACCATAGGCTTCTTACTGTATCATCCCTCACACCAGCCAGATACGAGCCTCATCACTCCCTAATCTCTATTGCTCACATCTGGATCCAAAATAGTGCAGGGTGGCCATGATGAAGAATTTAAATTTGGATGCTGCACTGGACTTTTCTATCAAAAAACCCAACATCATGGGTCAGCCATATTTGCATGTAGCTGACTGATAGCATGGGCAAAGTATGGAACTATAAGCTCTCCAAGGCCAACAGTGCAGCTATAGCTCATGGTGAAACAACATCCATTCTTCTAATGAACCCCTGCTTCCCATATGTCTGATTATTAAAATTCTCCACCAAACATAATGTATTTACTTAATCTTCCTGGCGAATTGAATTTTGTCCCTAGTGTTGGCCCAAGTGAAAATGAGTGTCCTGACTGGTCCTTTTAGGCCAAATTTCCTGCCAAAAGCAAAGTAAGCAGTGAAGCTATGAAATCTTTACTGTATCCTTCTATCAGCAGAAAATTCAGACAACATCTTCATTTATGATCTCCTTTTGTCATTGAAATGAACAGTGCTGCCTGCAGGAGATGGGAGCCTAGTCCACAGGCAAGAACAAGTATTGCAACCAGCTGGTTGGGTTCATTGTTACCTGTGGCCACTTTTTAGTTATTTGCAACTCTGCATTCAGATGTCTTCCTTCTTTCACAGGACCTGGCTCGGTGGAAGAGTCGTCGAAGGAGTGCTTCACAGGATTTGATTAAAAAGGAAGCTGAGAGAAAGAAAATGGAAAGGTTATTGGCTGGAGATGGAACAAATGAGCGCAGGAAAAGCATCAAAACCTACCGAGAAATCGTGGAGGAGAAGTACGTTGTTTTAGTGGAGTGTAGTGGCATGTCTGAAAATGCTGTGTGCTCCATAGGTGATAGGTAACTGTGGGCAGCCATGCCTGCAGACCTGAGCGAGGGAGAGGGAGGATGTTGATGGAGCAGAGGAAATGGCTGTGATTTCCAGTGTTAATGTGATGGTTTCTCTTGTGTTGTCTTCCTTGCAGAGAGAGAAGGGAGCGGGAGCTTCATGAGGCATACAAGAATGCAAAGACACAGGAGGAGGCTGAGAGCATCCTCCAGCAGTACACTGAAAGATTCACTATCAGTGAAGCTGTCCTTGAGCGTTTGCAGATGCCAAAAATTCTAGAAAGAAGCCATTCAGTGGAACCAAATTCCCCACTGAAAGACCCAAATCCTCTGAGATATTTAAGGCAACAGTCACTTCCTGCTCCAAAATTCACTGCCACAATTGAAGCAACCATTGTTCCCACCACTGAACTAGAGCCCAGCAGTTCAACAGGACGCACATCTCCCAGCAAAAGTATCTCCAAGGCTGTGCCTATGCTGACACCCAAGCCTTATTCACAACCCAAAAATACACAGGAAGTTCTAAAGAACTTTAAGGTAGGATACATCACATGCCCCAAAGTCAACCAGGAGGCAAAGAGATCGTGATTGAGTCATCTGAACATATAAATGTTTAATGCAATTACGTAGAAAATGGTGGCAGCATTCTGATATTATAAAATTCAGCTTCGTGCTCTGTGCGGCTTCTGATTTAATGGTTTCTTCATGTTTACCAGCTTTCTTAGAATCTTGACCTCTTCAGACTGAAATATTTGCACTGAACATTTTAACTCAGGCTAAATTTGATTGGAAAAAGGGGGAATTTAAGAAAAAAGCAAGGTGTTTCCTCAAAAAGTTTTTAGAAAAGAGTATGTGGTCATGTTTTTTGGTTTTGAGCAAAATGGAAGGTGCAGAGAGTGTGGAGGCCCTGATTTTTGAAGCAAGACCTGAACTGACTTTTGTGTCAGGGGTCTGATTTTTGGTGTACCCAAACAATTTTGGTGTACCCAAACAATTTTGGTGTACTCCTTCAGAGCCGAGAGCCAGCTTGCCCAAAGATATGCTGTCTTAAACATGCTTCTCATCAAGGATGAGTGGGAAAATCTGCTTCAGAGGCATAAAGAGAGGATTTAGCTTGTGCATGGAGGTTTAGTGAAGCAGGTTGGTTCTGGGGTAGCAGAGTAACTGGAAATTGATGGTGAGAGAGGGAGAGTGGCTCCATTGGGTCGCAAGAACCGTGAGAAGACTATGAGAGTAAGAAAACTTGGATGAAAGCAGTGCTGCTGGGAATAAGTCAGCTATGATTTGTGGGAGAAGAATAAGAAACAGTATTCTAAAACCAGAATATGAAATCTGATGAGTGTATCTTTTGACTGGGTGGTTGTGGAGAATGAGAGTAAGATACTGAACTAATGATGGAAAAAGCAAAAAACTGGGATGTATTAAAAAGAACAGACCAGAATAAGTCAAGTTTGAAAACATCTGCTGTTCACAGTGCCTGTACCAAAATTGGAGCTTACCCAAGTCTCATAGTAGTCATGTTGTGAACAGCATGAATGAATCCTACTGGCATGGATGCCCCCCGTCTCTAGTGTTTGTGTTCCCTTCTGTCTGCCATTGCACATACTTTGCAAGTGGCATTCAAGGGTCCCTGAAGGCCTGCTGATATCCCAGTAGCACTGCTTCTAAGTATGTTGAGGTTGTTTACTTTCTAAAAAATAAGTCAGCTCTTTGTAGCTAGTGAAAAAAGTATGCTGTGATGTATAATTTATTGAAGTCTGTCCCAGCTCCTGTGGAAACCACACTCCACCATGTTTCCTAGTTGAAACAAGAAACTGATAATTCCTGTTTCTCCTATACCCTGGTTGGTATGCCCTGAGTTTACTTTTTAGATATCAGTGAATCATGGATCTTTGTTTTTTTTTCTGATCCTTGCTACTTTTTTCATCAGGGGACCAAGATATGTATGTATATCATCATAATGTTATTGCATATATAATTCACATATGTGGGAAGAAACTCATGAAGGCTCCTATGCCCCATGAGCCACCAAAAAAAAATGTTTGAATCTTGTTCACGTGATGTGAAAAAATGTGATTTGTCTCAGTAGGAATTATTCCCTAGCACATGTAGTTGTTGCATTATTTTCCCTTGAAACACCAGTCTGTCAATGATTCTTGGCTCTGGTGACAATGTGTTGACTTCCTCCAGATCAGAAGGAAAGGAGTATGTTTGTTTAACTCTTCAGCCAGGGCATCTGTCCTGTTCATCCAAACATTTGGTTTTCCTCGTTAATATAAATAGAGAAATGCCTTAGTCTAAACAGAGACACTGAAATGGATGGTGCAGCCTGCCAGTGTTTTCCTGGACTTTTTATTTTTGAGATCTTTCATAACCTGGCTCTCTAGCAGATAATCCAGCACACAGTTCCAGAAGACTTGGGGCTCACACTTGTGTTTGGAAATAAACCCTAAGAGAGGTACTGTGTTAAGTGGATGATGTCAGTGTAGAAAGGGAGGGAACATTTTCATCTGAAAAACACTCAGAAGGAGTGAAACAGGTGGTGGAGCTGATTGTGCAAGGGCTAACTGCCTCCACCTTCCTGCACATCTGGCAGAGCTAAGGATGGCTCAGAGATGGCCTCTTAGTTAATCATGTTTATAAAGAACAAGCCTCTGGATGCACATGTACGAGAAGTCAATGGAAGGAGTTTGCCCTCAGCCTGCTTCTGATTATATATACTAAGCTGGAGTGCCACTCTTGAGGTATCCAAGCTGTTCACTCAATAAATAAGGAAGAACCTCTGTGCACAGAGTAGCAAAGCCCTCCTTACTCCTCCTTATGCCTGCTGACAAGCCTGTAAACATTTGTGCTGTGGCCAGGTAGGAGCACAGGAGCAATGTGGTGGTACGAGACACGGTCCTTTCCTGGTCTCTCTCCATCTGGGCCCACTTAAGGTGAATGGCTAGCGAGTTCTTTGTAGCAAGACTTCTCCTATATGCTTCTACAAAGAGCTCTTCAAACTGAAGGGAGTCTTTACATGCCACCTCCATTCAGAAATCCAGTGTAAAAGTGCCAAGAAGTTGTATCAATTCAGAGGAAGAAGCCAAAACATATTTTGTGCTTTCATCTTTGCTTAAAAGTTCCTTAGCAGGAATATATGGCCACAAAGGAGCTGGCTTGACCCTGAGAAAAAGGTAGTTAAACTGTTTCGACACTCTCATTTTCAAGGAGATTGAGTAAATTAATTTTTTAGGAAAGCACCTATCTATTTGACTGCCTTATGGAGAGGGTGGAATGGCTAGTTTCATTTGCTGGTGCCTTGATTCCCTGTTATGAACAATAAAGAAACAAGCAGATGAACTCTGCTGCTCCTGTCCCTTCAAAGTTCACATGGCAGTGCTTCAAAAAAGTACAGACTGCTAATACTGTGGTGAGGTCATTGAGGTACATAAACAGTTCATCAGCATAATTAGTCCTGGAGAACCTGCTTAGCCCTTGCATAAGGCAGTGTAAAACCCAGCAGTTTTGGTCTAAATTTAACATAAAAATTGATTTTTTTAAGCATCCTTTGATCTGTGATGCCCACAAAGGGTGTCTGTATGTTACTGGGAGAACGGAATGTGGGAAACCAGGAAATCCAGAAAAATTATTTCCTTGTGCCTGTATTTTGTTTATGAGCCCTTTAGGGTCACAGGGTCTTCTTCTGTTTTGGCCTGTTGAATGAGATATGTGCTTGGCTTCATCCCTCACTGATAACACAGACTGTGTTAATGATTGTAGTATCATGTTGAATTCCTAATTTCCTAAATTCCTTTGAATGCTACTTGTCTCAGCATATTTATTTAACTGTATTCTGCAGGTAGATGGAAAAGTCAGCATGAATGGAGAAAATGTCAATGGCACGGAAGAAAAGGATAAAGAATGTACAACAGTAATATTTACTCCTTCACCAACCAGATCTCTGAAATTTGATGGAGTAGCCAGAGGGGACAAGTCCCCGGCAGAGTTGAAGAAGGAACCCCCAAGTGTTGAGCTCAGTTTACAGAGGCCTGCCACTCAGAGTGTGCACAAAGAGCCAACAGTAAGACCAACACGAACAAACCAGCCTTACTTTCTGTGCCAATTTTCTGTCTCATGATGTGTTTAATCACTAACTAATGATACCCGAGTGCCTCTGTTTGCCTTATTGCAAAAGGGTGTGCCCAGACCAGGAAAAACTATAAACAAAACCCCAAGTCCTTTGTAAATTAAAGGCTTCTTCCTTTTGTATGTGGGTAGAGAAATAGGAGGGTAAATTTTAAAAAACTTTTTGCAGCCACTGGGGATTTTGGAGGGATTTTTTTTTTGTCTTTTTCGTTTTTGTTGTTGTTTTGGGGTTTTTTTCCAGATGCCATGCAGCTGATAAGCATGCTTTAAATGTGCTGGGCCAGGGAGAAATTGATTCAGTGTCCCAGCCGTTGTGCAGGTTTATTCAGCGCTTCTTCTAATGTAAGCTGATTAGATCAGCAACATAATTGGACTGTGTGAGCCATTATAATTAGTCTCAGTTTTCAAAAGAGGATGTGGATGTGCTGGCAGTTTTGAACATTTGGTTTTCATTCCCCTCTCAGAAACATTAGAAAAGGGGATAAGCTATTGAAATGCTCAGAGGGGCCAACATGCTTCTTAACTGTCTTATCAGAGAAACAAATTAATTTTACCTTTTCATCTATCTCTCCCCCTCTTCCCCAGAGAAAAAGGCAGGAGTAAAATTAGAGCATATCACAGCAGGCATCTAGATGCTACAAAACTGTAATGAAAGTAGATAGTAAAAACAAAACAAGAAATTAGGAGAGGATTGAAAAGAGAGCATGTGAAAGGCTGCAAGCAAGAGACAGCAGAGGGAATTCTCACCATTTTTTCCTGTGTAACAACAAAGAGAATTGGAGATGTGGTGCGAGTTGGAGTATGGTAATTTTTTCTTTCATCTCTGATTTCATCCAAGCATTGGCCAGATGGATAACAGGGAGCAGTCAGAGATCTGTCCTGGGGCATGATGGCTCATTCATGAGAAAGGGTTTGTGTTTTACTCCCCTGCTTAATGCCAGTCTCTAGCGATGGACAACCAAATCATGGAGCCTGCAGCAATCATGGCAACTGGAATGTGTCATGAGCACAGACTTGATTCTGTCAGAGAGAGCTGGTATTGAGTCAAAAGTGAATGATTTGCAGGGAGGGCAGGGCTGAGGCTGCTCCTGTCACAACAGTTTGGCTGCGAGGGAAAAGCCAGGTAAGCATTGCATCTGATACAGAAGAGCAGGTGATGGGAGTGTTTGGAGAATAAAGAACCTCAGCTTGCTGGAGATTAGAATTTCAATGACAATCAGAAAAGTAGCAAAGTGGAAATGTTAGTGTCTCCTTTTTTAGGAATTTCAGGCCTAGTTAGAGTTATGAGGAGTCTCAGCAGCAGAAGTCACTGTTAGTTCTTGAGTGTGCTTGTATCTGTTTGATGTCCTATCATCCTCCCCTTTCTACAGCTTTGAGGATGATATGGCCAGCTGAATGCAAATTTTTCTGTGTCTAGTTTCTCCTTCCAATTCTTAGCTCTTGTGGTGATACTGGCAAAGGAGGCAGAAGAGTTTGACTCAGATTCCTTGTGACTCTTGACATTTACAGAATAGCTCCTGGTTTGTCAGCTTGAATGCACTTAATGATGAAGCCTACAAGAGAGAATGACTGTGCACCAAAATGGTGCTAGTGACAGAGTGTCTGTGCTCTAACTACAAATTTTATATCACTAGCCTCACAATTCCATCAACAATGTGATTGGGTAGTGCAAATCATTGTAATTACTCCTGGCACTTCAGCTTCAAGCAAAGGTATGTGTGTTACATGTGTCAAGGACAGAGGAAGGAGAGCAGATAGCTTTGAGGGGGACCTTCCATGGGAAAACAGGTGGAATGTACTGAATGTGATGAGAGAGAAGACAAGAAGATTTGCCTGTCACTGGAAGAGAATTTACCAGCCTTAAATAAGATTTCAGGTTCTGTTTCTTCTGGAAGTTTACTTCTCTTTTCCCAAATGCTTCTTTTTAATATTACAGGTCTCCATGCCTCATACTAAGGCATGGGCAGTAACTTAGCTATTGAGCATACAGGAGAGCCTTGGTTTGTTGATGGAAAGGGCTTAGATGCAAGGTTACAGAGATGGGACAGGGTACTGATGTTTGGCTTCTCCACTGTGGGTCTTGGGACACAGACAAGCACTGCTATAGACACCTTGGTATGGATGTGATTGGTCTGGGGCCTTATTTGAAAGAACTGGGCAGCTACGCTGGACTCACTTCACTCAGCCCTCTCCCTGTACTTATTTTGCTTCAGACTTTGGACAACTAAGACGATGTCAGCCTCATCTGCAGATCCTGAAAGGCTAAATGATATAACCCCTCCTAGGAAGGTTGGGAATCCAGATTAGGAAGTATAAGATCCTTCTGGGCTTGTTCCACTTCCCATAAAATGAGACTTCTTGATCAGTAGGATGCTGCATCTACCTGTCACTGTCAGCATTCCAGAAGGGAAAAAGAGGTGTGATGTTTGCTCCAGGAATGGGACTTCCAAGCTACATATTCTTAGAAGTAAGGAAGCCTTCTGAAAGCCTCCACTATCACCTCCCACAAGGAGAAAACAGGGCTGTAGGTTTTATCTGATGCTTAACCCTTCTGACATTCCAGAAGAGGAGGAGAAAATGACAGAAACAAGCATAGAAAAGCAGCTGAGATGAAGAAGAGCTGTCTAGAGTGGAAGAAATTACTGAAGCTCTTTTGCCTTGAGAAGACTTCTACAAATTAAGCATATTTTCAAAGCCATTTCTAAACCTGCTTTCACTGTGCTTATTTGTATATTTTATATTTCAGTTCTTGTTAGCTGTGTCCTTCCCAGGCTTTAAATAAGATTCACAGGCAATAGTTCTGTTAAGAAGTTATGAGTCAGAGATTTGTTTTTTCCCTATCTAGTTGCTGGTAGATTTGAGTTGGTTTTGTGTTTTATTCATTAATTTTCTACGCCAGGTCTCTTCTGTGAAATATATATTTCTTTTCATATACACCTTACCTATGGCACTCCTGTCCGCTCCTTCTGATTCTCTTCCTGTTCTTTACGTGCTCCTTCCTCCTCCTCCATCCCTCATAGGGCTGCTCCCCTGCTGTTTCTGTTCATTTGTCAAACGGATGAGTTCTGTCTTCTCTCAGCCTAGCAGGCTTCCCTTTGAAGTCCCTTCTGTAGTCCTAGTTTGAATCTGTCTGACTGCCCTCAGGCATTGTCTGCAACAGGGGAAGATGCAATGCAACTGTACTCCAACAGTGCTTTTGGCCTGAAGTTTATTTAAGTTGCACCACTTAAAACACTAATACTGTTGAGGCTCTTGAGGAGCTAGGGAAGTGCAGAGATCATTTCCTGTGGGTGAGACCTCAGTGTCAGTTGTCTTTTTGAGAAGAGAAGGACTCCATCTATATGTGAATCAAATAATGTTTGGCAACCAGAGATTGACTGGGAGACATACATCCTGCCTAAATCTACTATGAAATGAGATGCAAAATCTGCAGCAGGTGGGCAGAACAGTAAAGAAAAATATTATCAAAAAATTTACTTATATCTCTAGAGTATAGGTAGAGTATTAGGTAGAGTATAGGTAGTGTTTAAGTGATTTTACAAGACTTACCTTTGCTTAAAGCAGCTTATGAAATTTTGCCTGTGATTAAAGGCTAAAAAGGATAAACTTGACCTACAAACAGGAGGAAAATGGTGTTTGTGGAGCAATGTGGTGCTAAGAGGGGTGGTAGGTAAAGCATACCTATACCTCTCAATGCAGCTGGAAAAACTGGGACACAAGCCCAAAGACTGATCAATCATGGCAATACCAGCAACAATGTGAAAATCATCTCCTCATCCTGGTCCTACCTGTCAGCCATTTAGGCTGTGTTTTCTTCCCATTTTACAGAATAGTGGTGGACACTACCAGTGCTGAGAAGTTTGTATCTGCTAGCTCTTTGAATCAGAAGTTGGCAAAGTAAATATTTTGTTTTAGAACAGTTGTGCAGATTTTAGTGTAGGGGAATTAATTTGTCAGTAAGTAAGTAACGTCACTTTATTTTAACCAGTCTTTATGCAAGCACGTAGAAATTGTTGGCTTCCTACAGCTCTAACTATAACTTTGCTCAGATCAACCAAAAAAAAAATAAATATAGGCAGCAACCTAAAAGAGATCAGGGTGAGGTGGTGGTGGGGAGAGACAGCTTTCTTTTAATTTCTCTCTAGCTAGCTTAAACTTGTCCATTTCTACTCACTGCATGCTTGGCAAAAAATGCACTTGTTTTCTATATCCAAGTAACACTCTCCTTCATGTGGAAAAATTCACTGATTGAACTGAGATTAAAGTACAAGCTTTCTTGTGGTTGAGGATTGTTGCCCAAGCTACAGGAGAGCAGGGCTGAAATCCTGGTTTGTACATATCCGGTAAGACAAGTCTTTGTTCTTTGATTCGTTATGAGATACACTCGTAGAGTAAGTCTGTCTGTTCCAGATTGACAGCTTTGCCTTGAACCACACATGAAAAGATGCACGGAGGGCTGGACTACCTGAAGGGAAAAAGGTGTAGGATGAGAAGTGAGAGCGGCAAAGCTTCAAAGCAGCTAGAAGGAAACTCTGCTCAGCAGGTTACGAACATAACATGCCTGTCTCCTGTCCTTCAGACAGCCATGTACTTTTCACTGTCTGTCAGTGAAAGAAGCTGATTTTACACCCCAGTTGAGCAGTAATAACTCTAATGACTATCAGGAATACTTCATACTTTCTTGCAACATTTTCAAGACTTCTCTGTCAGTTATTGATTGCCCAGATCTTTTGTTGTAAATAGCTGGCCTGAATATAGCATTATATAGCTGGCAGATGACTTAACCTGTTGAAGCAGTGTTTTGGCTGTAGTACTATATCTGGCATAGCATGCAAGAAACTAAGCTGTGGCAGCCCAAGGCTGTGCCATCATTACCACTCACATCAGCTGCCAGCATTAATTTTGATGAGGAAATCTTTGTAGAAAAAAATTTTTAGTCAGTGATATGTGTAGAATTCTAATCGCAGAAGTTTTGTGATTTGTCAGACAATTTCTACATGTGGCTATTGATGTTGCAACCACTTTCATTCCTGAATGTTTTTACGGAATTTAAATTGTAGTTTTAACCTGATTCTGTCTGATATCTCTGCATTCTCACTGGTTCTAGACAGCTTGTTTTGTGATGCTTTCATATAAAATACAATAACAATATATTGTATTTCACATGATTTTGTGTGCAAGCAGTGTTAACTGAGCTATATTTTGATTTAATTTACAAGAAGGATTAATAAAGTTCTACTGTAACTTCCTTTGGAGTTTGTATTCTTGTAGAAGTTGTGATACTTTGTGTGCTAGGTATTTCTGTTTATTGTGTTTTTAGGGTTTTATTAAGGGTGTAAAGTTCTGCCACAGCAGTAGCCAATATGGCCATTTCTGGCTTGCATGATCTTAATCAAAGAAATGCTTGGACTGATATCCTAGTTTATGTGATAAAAATCCTGTCTCTCACAAGCTGAACTAATTTATTTTCATGCCTAATAGGTGTTTGGTAACACTGTATGCTTGTGCTTGTGTCTTTGTTAAATGGATACTTCGTTTAGCAGAACACAGGTGTTGCTTTGTCCTCTGTACTGATGTGCTCATAACCACAACTGCCATCACAGTATTTAACTTTCCATCATTAATTAAGGCTAAGTCATAAATGGGGAAGCTTACTTTAACTCCTAGGCATCCAGATGCATGGGACAATCAAAACACCCATCCAAGTAGACAGCATTCTTCAGTATTTAGAAGTTTTAATAGGACAGTCTGGACACCAGGCTGGTGCGTGGGCAGAGATAATCACAGCCCCCCTGCACTGAGGTTTTCCATACTCCTCTTGAAGGCTTCATTGCCTGTGGTGGTGTTGTGTGACCTTCCCTCACAGGCACCTCAGCAGAGCCTGTGTTTGAATGGCTCTGCTGCCCTGCAGAAAGAGACCTCTGCCCCGACAGACACAAATGACAGAAGGATGCTGAGAGGTTACATCAGTCCTTCATCCCAAGGCGTGAGAGCTCCACCCAGAACTGATGCACCTCAGAAATGTCACTCACTAGGTTACCAAGTCTTTCAGTCAAAATACAGTCCTCTTAGGTGTAATGAAATGTTTGTACACCTTTTTTTATGTTCAGTGATAACATCATCATTTGATTACAAATATTTATGAAATGCGAAGCATGATAATCTGTGGTAGAAAAGATATTTTATCAATTGTATCAGTACCAGAATTTTCTTAAGTGTATCATATACCTATGGATAAAGTACTAGATAATACTACCTTAATTTGGTGTTATAAATAGAATTAAATTTAATGGAAATAAGAGAGTTCCCCAGTGAAGTTGACTTAATTTTTTTATAAATTAGTTATTAATCAGTTTTATATTTTTAGCTGTATGTCACTACTATTTAATTGCTCAGCAGAGGGAGGAGAAAAAGTCAAGTCTCGTGAGCAGGAACCGAACTTCTGCAGCATGCCATTGGAAAGTCAATTTTCCTGCAGCAAGTAGTAGCTCTTTTTTCTATAAATAACATTTATGTCTATACCTGATTCAGCCTCCTGGATATAGGTTATGGGTAGGTTTAGTTATTGTGCTTTTGCAGGACAGCTGCACGACAGCACTGTGTTTGGGTTCCTGAGGTAACTCCAGACCCAGAGGTGATACAGATGCATCATGTCTGTGCATCATGCATCCCTGCAGCATTCACTGAGCAACAGTGAATTTTAGCCCCTCTGAGAGGCCACAGTGGCTGTGCTCTTTCTCCAGCAGCAGCTGACATCAGCAATTGACTTTCTTGGTAGTTTAACACTTTTTGTATTGGCCCCGGGAATATAACCGTTCATAGCTTTAAAGCCTCTGAGGTTGAAATTAAAGTTGAATGTATTTATTTATTTGATTTTTCAATTTGGACAGTTCCTTTTTGAGAGTGAAGGGGTGAATTCCTCTGTTTTGCCAGAAATATTATCAAGGTAAATACCAGTAATTGAAATCTACAACAGTTTCTTTGGGAGGGCTTATGGTTTGGACCAGTGGGTGTGGAGCCTCTTGCTTTTCCATGAAACCTACCTTGTTTAAGGCAAATCCTGAGTTCTCAATAATAGCCATTTGTTTAGGTTTAACAGAGTTTTGTAGGTTGTAGAATGACAGAATAATTCAGGTTGTAGGTCTCTAGCTGAGTCTGCTGCTCAAAACAGGATCATACATGAGATCAGAACAGGTTGCTAAGGGCTTGATCATTCAAGACTTGAAAATCTCTGAGGACAGAGTTGGCACAACCTATCCAGCTAGCCTGTCCTCATGCAGAAAATAAATACTTATTTCTGCTTTAAGCAAGGTTGGGAAGGATTTCCTGTAGCTTCTCCCCTGACTGCTGTTGCATCAGGAGCCAGAACTGAGGCTGAAGGGGGAATTTTCTTTAGTTGCAGTAGAATTCTGCTGGGGCTTTTGTGATGAAACTCCCAGTGACACACCAGGCTGGCATCCAGATGAACTGGGGGACAGAGAGGTGGGTTATATCAAAGAAAAGAGCAACTAAGTGGCAAGAGATAAACCTCTGGGCCACAGGACTTGCAGTCTTTGGAGCATTTCTCTGGGGCTGTGTTTTAGCCTGTGCCTCATCTCCAGCGACCACTCCTGGGAGTGTGTGAGACTTGGAGGGAGAGGTCTGTGCTTTCCTCACTCTTGGTATAGATGCATTCCCTCATCTCCAGCGACCATCCCTCCTAGGAGTGTGTGAGACTTGGAGGGAGAGGTCTGTGCTTTCCTCACTCTTGGTATAGATGCATTCACAGGTGGACCCTCTTTCAGGAAAGTCCTGAAACTTTCCATGTTACCTTTTTGGAGACACTATTTCACTTTCTGCCTCATCCAGTTCAAGAACAGCTTTTAGGCAGGTGGGAGATGTGTCTCCATGTCTTGCCTGGGGTAGAGGCTGAGGGTGGCAGAGGTGAGGGTGCACTGGAAAGTGGTGGCAGTGACGAGGATGGCAGGCAGCCAGCCCCAGCAAGCGCTGCCGCCTCTAGAGACTTGTGGCTGTGATCTGGCGCCTGTCCTGCTGAGAGGTGGCAGCACAGCCCTTGGCAGCTGCGGGACGCTTCTCTTATTCCCAGCACTGCTGGCTGCCTGCTGGGCTTGCCTGGGTCACTGGCCCTGGCCATGACCCCACACCAGTCTGCACCTTTTCCTTGCAGGGCATCTTCCTAGACATGATCCTGCCCCTCTGGAGAGCGTGTCTCCCTCCAGAGAGGAGACAGGGCAGGGATTCACAAGCTTTGCCAGCAGTAAAGTTCCCTGGAGCTTTGTGGGGTGTCCACAGGTGTTGACATCCTGTTGGCATTGCCAGCAGATGTCTCCTGCAATGGAGCTGTGAGAGCCCAGGCTTGTTTTTCATGGGGCATGTTCAGATAAGGGGCCATAGGCTTATGTGGGCCTGCAGGGATAGGAAACAGGATCCATACATAAGGTGAGGATTAATTCCTGCCTGCAGAAAAGAGGAAATTTGATCAGATTTCCTCCTTTGCAGCTGTTAAGAAGATGGAGGAGTGGGAAGAGGACAGGAAAGAGAGTCTACAACAGGCTATTTCTGAAATATGTTACTTTTTATTTCAAAAATTAGTCTGCATTTTTTATTTTCCTCCATTGAATGTGCCATTTTTTAGATCTTGGATGCATTAGAAGCACAAGCTATCAGCAATGGCTATTAGCTTTGCTGCAGATTTTTCTTGGTTTGCCTTCTGGAAAAGCAGATATGTGGTGGAAGCTGCTGAATAGATCAGCTGAAGTGTTACCCTTGTTTTGACAGTGTAGTTTTAACTCTGCAACAGCCCTGTCCAGGTCAGGAAGCTTGCTTTTCAAAGGCATTTGAATTATTGGCTTGATACAGCCTCACCATATTTTTTCAGTCCTCTCTTAATAGTGTTTCAAGTATTTCATTACCTTTAATACAAACTCTGGCTTTTCCCTTCAGATAACAGATTGTTTAGACAACCGTGAAATAAAGGAAGTATTTCATTACTTTGCCACTTTCCAAACCCTAGTGTGTGCTATCTGTTCACTAATGCATACATTTGTGTGTTATTCTGGAAGGGGAAACTAGGGGTGAAATGTGTGCTTATCTCCAGCTAACACAATCCAAGATATCCTACAGTTTTAAAAGCTTGTAGGAGCTATTCCAAACCAACCACATTAATGGCTGATGATGAGGGATTTGAAAAGGAGATTAAAGCACAGCCATTCAATCCCAGAATGGGCACATATTGCTTTGAAACATTCTCCCCAACGCCCTGCTGAGCTCCACACTGATGTGGTTCCGACACACTACAAAGGAGCAGCAAGCACTGCCTTGAGGAACTAGCACATACTTTTATTTCCACTGTACTCACTCCATGCTGTGTTCCTCTCTCCAGGCCTCCCCAGTGGAACTGGATGGAGCTGACAGCCTGCAAGCCGAGCCCAGCCCCAGCAGTGTGACACCTGCCCCCCCGGAGTGCCCATCCCCAGGTGGGTGTGCTGCTGCCCTCACCCTGCCCTGCCTGTCCCCAGGTGGGTGTGCTGCTGCCCTCACCCTGCACTTGCCCTTCCTCACTTATGGGCCCGGGTTGAGGCACACTCTGTGGCAGGAATCTGCTAGGAGCATCGCCAGCAGCACCAACAGGACTCATTAGAAAATGCTGTAAATGTCAGTAATCTTAACATAAAATGAAGTTGTCTGCTGTCAGAACATTCACTGTAGCAGCCTCCCAAGGGATGTACTAGAGCCCCTGTGGCAGGAGGTTTTTCAGGTGCAGCTGGACAGGGTGCTAAAGAATCTCCTCTGGCTCCCCTTCCCACAAGAGGTGGGACTAGATGCTCTGTTGAGGTCCTTTCCAGCCTGGGCTGTTCTGTCTTTCTGTGGTTGAAATGACACACCTGAGTTGTCCACTTGTCCACCTGTGTGACTGAGAAGCCAGTGCCACAGCATGCTGTAACCAGAAAGCAGCAAGGGCAGAAGCTACCAGTCAGTAATAGTTTCTGGCACATTTTTTCCCCCTCAAGACACTAAGGAATGGGGACAAAGAGTAAGAACGGGCACTTCACTCCCCTAGGGGCTTTAAATGGACAGTATTGTGCAGACTTCTAATTTTCTGCCTTAAAGCCTTTATGCATGATTCCTAATCTGAGGAAAGGAATTTGCTGGTAGAATTTTAAGCTGTTTTCCTCAAAAGTGTGTTTCTGAAACATTGTCTTTGAGTAGGCACTTTATTTGCTGTATGCTATTATACAAGTTCATGGTATTTTTTTGTTGTTCATTTTTTTTAAATGTGTCTATTAAAGTTCAGCTTGGAATGGGTAAGTAAAAAGTACTATGTCAAGTAGGTGTTTAAATGAGATCACTGGCTGTAGTTGGTATGTAAGAATAATGCTCCTGTTTGTTGAGGATAAATGTGACTTAAACAATTGAGCTTTGCCCTCAAACATCAGTGAGGTACCATTCCCCAAAGATTAGAAGCACATGGGCTGTTAGCAAGGGCTCATTAGCTGCCTTAATTACTTTGGCTCCTAGATGCCAAAGTACATAGTTTAACAATTTTGAATTGCATCTGGCTGGTAATGTAGAAGGTGCAATCTTGTAATGAAATGACAAAATTCTCCTCTCAAGAGTAAACAGTGATGAGCTGGTGCTGTCTACAAATCACAAAGCCAACTTGGCTGCAGCTCCCCACCTGTCAGAAATGCTAAACCTTAAGTACTGACAGCAAATTTTAATATTGTCTGGCAAGGAAAACTGACATAGCATTGCTAAAATCGAAATGATAAAGTAACATGGAGTTTTCATTATGTCTGCTTGGAGGAATGGATGGGGTCCAAACTGTGTGAACTTGTAACCAACCTCCTCTGCTGCTCAGTACAAGCCAAACACTTTCATGCTGTGGCCCCTGTGCCTCTAATAGTGGGGGAATGGTTCCAGAGGAGGGTGCATCTGCCTTGACAGCAGCAGCTCTTGTCTCTTCTTGTCCACATTCTTTGTGGAGTTGTGAGATGCATCTCTTTCTTAGCTTATTCTCCCAGCCTGTCAAAGAGGTGTACTCAGAAGCTGCCAATGCTGCTGTGGTTGGAAAGGGAACAGGATCTGCAGTTTCTCCTGGAGGAGGTTGGAGAGATGTCTGAGTGCTTATTTAGTGCCTGAGATGCTGGTGACAGCTCTGCTTCCAGTGGTGGTATCAGCTATCAGCAGTTCAGCTGTCACAGCTGTCGACCTGTGTGCTTCTAGGCCCTTCTCCCAGGAACCAGCATCAACTTGTAGGGTTTCTTTAAGAATTAGATGACAACTAGGTTATTCCAGTCCAAGGCTGCCTGTTAGCAGTTTGTTGTCTGATGCTTAACTGATTGTCAGTGGAAGTGGTAGGTTTAGTGAAACTAGGCAATATGAAATATCCTCCAGTGCTGATAGTGACAGCAGGTCATATAGCTGCTTATCTCTGTAACATCTTAGGGTAGGATTCATCACATAAGTAAAGAGATCTTAGCTCAGTAGGCCCATTGTAGGTTACAGCTCATCTTACCCAGAGGAGTGCCTGAAATAAAAGTTTGTGTGACTCTTTCACAAGGACTTCTTGTCTGTTTTGGTTGACCATGAAGGGTGTCCCATGATGCCCAAGTCAAGTGTAAGGGCATAAATTTTGATAGGTGAATTTCATTCTTTGAGTCTCGTCTTCTCTGAGAGATTAATTTTTCCAGTGTTGAAGAAGAAATTTTATTTTTTCAAAACATACCGTAGATGAGCTCACAATACGTCCAGTAAGAAACTGGATTGTAAGAAATAGGCATGTTTTATTTGAAAAAGTATCTTAACCTTGCAACATTATCTCTTATGTGTCTGGATTGGGTTTAGATCAAAAGCAATTCAAGTCAACTGCAGCTTGTTCCAGCCCTGTTGTGAAGAGATTAGAATTTCTTCCCAGTCCTGTCCCTTCAGAGGAAAATGCTTCAAGCAAGAAAGATGTGAAGAAAGCTGAAACAGAGCAGCAGAAGGAAACAGAGCTCCCTTCTACACAGGAGGTATGTACAGGCAAGAAAAAGAGGGAGTGGGGATAAAAAAAAGGAAAAAAGAAAGAGAAATATCTTACATAGAAATGCTTATTGTGCAAATTGGTAATTTTTTCCATAAAATGTCACTTCAGGAGTTCATTCAAAACATGACCCTGAAGGATGGTTTCAGCTGCCAAATCGTGTGGTCATCAGAGAGTTCCCCCTCAAAAGGAACTCCACAGTGCATGCCTATAGCATTTGAACCTGTAAACTGGTGAGACTAGAAATGAGAACTTAACCTACAAACCCCAGTCCCACCACCTGTTGGGAGGGCAGGGTATCCAGGTGCTGCAGACAGTAGAACTTATCCTCTTGGTCCTCTTGAGGTGCTGAACAAGTGCTGGTGGTGGCAGAGGTAACAAACACCTGTGACCATATTGTTCTTTCAGGTAAGTCAGATGTTGGTTAGTCGGATGGTGATAGAGGATTGACTTTGCTGTGCAGGGCAGTGAGAATGTCAGCAGGAAATAGCTACCAGTTACTTACAGGACTTCAATACTGCAACTCCCCATTGTCATTCTGGAGATAGAGGGTTCATCTTTGATAATGTTGTTTCAGAAAATAAGTAGAAAGGGTTTCAGCTGACCTTTGATTGAACCTGTTCCTTTTTAAGTGTTGTTTTCTGCTCCCAAATGTCTGAACAGGCGATTAAAGTAAAAGCCCTGGAAGAAAAGGGGAGTGTAGTGCTGCCATTTTTAAAGAAACTACCTGAAACCAGCCAAGTTACTCTGCATAACTCTAGTCTACAAGGTGAGCAAAAAGCATTTGGAAAACTCAGCCAGACAGCAGCTGAATATGGGCATGTGGTGTTCAGGGAGAGGTGCCTGATCCACGACTTGGAGGGTTTTGGAGCTAAAACAGTAATTTTCTAATTTCATTGACTGATACTGGTAGTGTGGATTCTGTGATGAAAAGGATTCTTCTGGCTATTCCTCTTAAACACAACAGCAGGAATTTGACACAGCAGAGGGAGAGCTGTATCTTGCATTTACCTGGCCTGGCAGTAAAGGCTGTATTATGTTAATGAGTGTTACATACCGCTGCTCACAGATGAAAATGACTTAGCAATTGGCTTTATCTCACAATAAAATTTTCTGGAGATAAATTCTGCACTGAGCTGCTCTTGTGGAGCTCCTCTTCGTAGATGAGCAATACACATATCTGACCACATCCTTGAATTTGACCACTGCCCAACACAAGTTCTCACAATGCCTTTTTCATTGCCTTCATAACAAAGTTTTGCTTGAGACTGATGATGTTTAGTAGTTTGATTTTATATTTCTTTTAAATAGGCATAAATGTAGGTGTTGTGGAAGAAAAAGAGAAAAATTGACTGAGGGTTTTTTTCCCCGTAAGAACTTCCTAGCTTGTTAATCTATAGGTAATATACTGATTAGCCTACCGTTTTCAAGGTTAAAACTACTGAAGGTGATCCAGTTTGAAAAAACTGAAGAGGGACTTTTTGCGAAGCCACGTAGTGATAGGATGAGGAACAAAAACTTTATCCTGAAAGAGGGTAGATTTAGATTAGATATTAGGAAGAAGTTCTTTAAGATGAGTTGCGCAGAGAAGTTGTAGGTGCCCCATCCCTGGAAGCCTTCAAAGCTAGTCTGGATGAAGCTTTGAGCAATGTGATCCAGTGGAAACTGTCCCAGTCCATGGCAGTGGGAATTGAAGCTAGATGATCTTTAAGATTCATTCCAACCCAAACCACTCTATGATTGTCTAAAAAGGAATGGAATTCTCACATGTTTTAGTGGGTAGGTGCTACCCAAGCAGACTTTGAGAACAATATCATTTTATGTTAAGCAAATCTAACCAAATAGCAAGTAAAAGGTTGTAGGTCTCTTGCCTTGTCAGTTTTCTGACTGGTGCTGAAACACTTGGCTGCTCTCTAGTGTTCACAGCATATAGAGCACTGAAAGGCTCACAAAATGCATTAAAATCTGTATCTGCAGTAGGAATGACTGCAAGCACCGTACAAAGACTCAAAAGGTGCCATGTTGCAAAAGTGTATTTAAATACACACAGTCCGTGTGATCTTCAAGTCCATTGTAAATTAATCGCCATGGACCAAAGCAACTGTAGCCAAATCCCTCCTGTGGCCAAGGTGGCTCAGGTCTGAGAGTCCGTCATCACCTTTTCACCACGCTGTTTCTTGTTTTGTCTCCGTGCCCTTACCTGCAGAGCCGCCCCGTGGGGCCATGGTTCCGCTTAGGGTCCGCAACCACTGGCGGCGCTCGCAGTTTTTCTCGCAGTCAGGTAAATGCGGCGTGGGAACAGCTCCAGCCCTTCTGCTCTCCAGCCACAGGTGTCTTCGGACACGGCGCTGGGTGAAAGCTGATCATCACGGGCACTTGTTCTACCTCTCGCTTTCGTAGAAAATATCTGTTCCTGCTGCACAGTTGACAGAGAGCTGTTGAGTTGCACATTGTTGTGATGCTCTGGTTTCAGGCACCCAAAAGAAATCCCTTGCCTATAAATACCCTTTTCTTAATTTCTTTTAATCAGTCTAATTTTCAAAGACATTTGGATAGAAATGGCAATGGTTCTCTTCATAACTGTGGCTCTTGAGTAGTGTAGTCCCATCCTTTTAGCATTGCTGTACTTTTTTCTTCCTTGCACTGAATCATGAAGGGAAAAGTAGATCAAGGTAGGTAAGATTCAGTGTCTGAACACTGCTAACATCTGTGGCCAGAAGTAGATGGCATTAGCTAGTGGTAGAGTAGAACCTGATGTTAGTTAATATTGTGCTCCTTTAAACCCAGATAAAAAGTAGTTTTGTTGGTGATGGGTATAATCTGATTTTCTGATTTATTTGCTTGCAATTAGTCCTTGCATTTGGTTGTGGGAGTAAATAGGAAACTAACATGCAGATATAATGTAGATTCATTTACAGGCTGAGGAAATTTTGCTATGTTAAATTTAATCTCTCATTGTTCTGTTTTGTTTTTTTTTTTTTTAATAGCTGATTCTGATACTGGTGATAAATCAAATGTGAGTACCTTTTTTGCATTATTGTTTGGTTTAGTGATTTGTGTTTAGCAGAAATTAATTCTTTATGCAAACTCTCTTGTGACATCCCTAAATCAGAATGAGAATTTTTTCTCATGGACACGTAAGAGGAAAAGTACAACCCAAATCAAGGCATTGTCTGAATCTGGAATTCATGCATTCTCCTCTCATCTGGAGCTAGCTATACAGTATGTGGTGGCTGGAACCACTAAAGCTCCACAGTCTCTAAATAATATGTAATTCTAAATTATCCATTGTATTTTAAATGCATATAAATGAAAGGACTTCACAATACTACTGTTTCCTCAATGAAACAAAAAAACCCAACACACCACAAATTCTACTCTGAAGTACATAGTATTTCACATTCTGTTTGTCATATAGAAATAGACATCATCTCTTCCTATGATATTCAAATACTACTTGTAGTGGAAAGGGTTATGGCAGGAAGTATCTAAAGTTGCCCTTGATTATAAAGATTTTAAACATACCATGTGATAGGATCCTTAGTGAAGCCTGAGGATTTATTTTATCATGGATAAAAATTCAAAGCAAGGATATAGGTTTTTGTGCTGGCAGACATAAAATGAGAGAATATTTTTTGCAACCTAAAATTGCTTTTCATGTTGTAAAGAAGATTACAGAGAAGCAAAATACGTATGTTCTTTAAATTTGAGTCCCTGGAGGTGACTCTGTTCAGTAATGCTTAGAGCTTTCTTTAAGACCTTTCCCCCCCTCCCTTCACCTGAAGTTTCCCAAGACTTTCTTTGCAAACCAAATAATTCTTTTATCATGTGGCTACAAATGGGCAATCCCAAGTGTCAGTGAAGGTAAGAATATTGTTTGCTAACTGAGAGAACCCATATCTAGTTCCCAGTTTCCCATTGTAAAGTCATTGGCATGACTTAATCAGGCCCAGTGCAGTTTTCTCTGGTAGCCATGTGAAGTGTGGTGTCACAGTCTAATAGCTTGGTTTTCCTTCATGTAAGCGGTTCAATTTTTGGTCCTGGGATCCAGAAGAAGAGCGAAAGCGCCAGGAAAGGTGGCAGCATGAGCAAGAACGCTTGCTTCAGGTAGGGAAGAAACTGTATGTCTTCCACTGTGTGGTTCAGCTGTTGAATTGTTCCTTTGGACAAAAGTTGAGCATTTTGTGTCATGTTTTCCACATCCTCTGTGGATGCTTGAGCAAATTCTGTGGCAGTTGAGTGATAAATGAGAACCACACACGTTTTGTGTGGTTTAGGCACTCTCATGTCTCTCTTCCCCACTCCATGGAAAGACCAAAAGGACTTAATCCTGCAATCCAGTGCAGAGTTAAACGGAATGTGTTGGTCCTCAATTATATTTAAATTATGCTGAGTATAGACTGCAAAACTCTTAATTATTTGGAGCCTCTTTGACAAATTTGCTAGCCTGGATGCCTCTTTTTTAACTCTTCTTTAAAATTATGGTCTTAATAGCTTTTCATAGGATTCTGCTTTGTTCACAGGTTCTTCTTGGAAAATACCAAGCTAAACTTGGACATGAAAGGACTTGGGTTTGAGGGGGTTTTGTAAGAGAGGGAAATACCTTCAAGACAACCATTAGTTTTGCCTAATGGTACGGTGAACTCTGAAAGTTCTAGATTTGTGTCCTAGTTGGAAGAAATGCAGTAGACATGAGAACCTGGATCTCCCAGTCAGTCAGGAGTGTCTTTTGAAACTGTGACTAGCTTTGATCCCAAAAAAATCACATCTTTGTTCCATGTAACAGAAAAGCAAACAAGGATGTCCAAGGATGGAGAATAATAAAATCTTTTAATCCTTTAAGAAGGACTTGTGTATCTCTATGCTTTCTTGAGATCATCTAATTTTGCACCTCTTAAAACAGTGTAAAATTCTCATAATAATTTTTCTGGCATATGGGGGTGTTCTCTCAATAGTAAATGCTTATTTTCTGTAATAGGCAGATGTGGTTACTAGTCTGAACAGATGCTGGAACTGGTGTAAGAGGGAAATGGAAGTCACCATTCCTCTCCATATTCAAACCAGCTCTGGCAAACAATTTTAAACACCTCTTTGAGATCATTTTTTGTGCAAAACTCTGTGAAAACCATTCTTAAGAAATCATCCCTTCAAGGGAGAAAATAATCTATTTGGCTAATTATAATCTTACTCTCTTCAAAGCTTTGCACACTATATATCTCATAAACTTGCATAGTTATTCATCATTCATTAAATTGTATTGGCATATCTCTTAAATTAGTCCCAGTATCTGCAAAACCTGCTTATTTATATGCTACTTTGCTGAAGTTTTTAATGTACAACCATTGTCTCAGTGTTTCAGGCTCTGTGAAATATTTTTGAAACTTAATACAATAAGATACACAAGAAATTATTAATATTTTTGAGTATAAACTTCATTTCTGAACAAAGATTTTAAAAATTCTACGAAATTAAACTACTTCTAATGTGTCAAAAATTCCTTGAAGTTTGAAGGTGTTAAATGTAAGTCCTAGGAAAAAATGGGCAAAGTGGAAAAGAAGCGCTTTTTTTTGACACCCGTGGATGTTTCCAATTTTTATCCTTTTATTTAATCCTATTTCTGATTAAATCACTCTTAGCAAATTCATTTTTGCTGTGGAGGTACTACAGAATTTACTCTTAATATTGAATGCTCTGAATTTATCTACATTTGTGTCCATGTACAGGAGAAGTATCAGAAGGAGCAGTACAAGCTGAAAGAGGAATGGGAAAAGGCCCAGAGAGAAGTTGAAGAGGAGGAGCGTAGATACTATGAGGAGGTATAAGGCTCAAAGGAGGAGGTTGTTTTGGGGGGCTTTTTTTTGTATTTAAATGCACCCACTTTGGGTGCAAAAACAACACCAAAAATCATCCCATACCAAGATTAATTAATGAAAATCCTCTTCAAGGCTAAATTCTGAGGACTGTTTCTCTTAAACACTGCCATAGATGTTGAGGAAGAATATTTAAATATTTGGACATGTATCCTCAGCACCTCCGCATAGGTGGAGGTGTCTAGTTGCTGTGCAAGTCTGGGTGAGTCAGTACAGCTGTGTCTGGGCACGCCCAGACTTCCCTGCAGGGGCAGAGCCCTGTGTATTTTGGCATATACTTGGTGCCTAGACTTGGTGAAACTCCAGGTGAAATTGTTGTCTTGTCTTGGGTTTGATCATAGAGGAATTTTGAAACTGGCCTTAAAAAAAAAATCCACAGGAGATGTTAAAGCTTGCAGTTGTGGAATATTAACAATCTAGAAGATAGTGGTTTTCTTCTGTTGTATGTGGGTCATTATTAAAGGAAACTGGAAAATGTTTATAAGTTTGTATATGCATTATGTAAATGCATGGTTTCTCATCTGTGCTTGAGGGACATACTTGTGGTCTAAACAAGAATTTTTTTCAACTTTCAGAATAAGTTTCTCATGTACCAAGGGTAATTTCATACTTTCATATTAAACTTAATATACTTGTGCTCGGCTAAACAATAGTTCCATGCAAGTGAAATATTCTTTCCTGGTTTGGAAATTCCATCTCAATGGTAAAAGGAATGGAAGTACAAAACCTTGAAGCAAATTAAAAATTGAGGTGTTACCATTTTTCTTGGTACCACAAGTCCTTATCTAGCCATCTAAATTTGGCATATAGACAAATCTTATTTTTCTTATGTTTCATAAGCTCACTGTTTACATTCTGTATATTTAACCCCCACTCTCTCCTGATCCTCTTTATTCAGGAACGAAAGATAATTGAGGATACTGTAGTTCCATTCATTGTTTCTTCAAACTCTGCTGAGCTCCTCTCCTCTTCTTCCTCCACCACTGAAGGAAACAAGACAGTGGTGAGTTTCTCATGGAGTAGTAAGGCACTGAAGAGTAAGCCATCTTTAGTGCAATGTTTAATCCTTTGCTAAAGGCTGTCAAAGTCCAGGAGCTGTAAGGGTAAGGGTATTCCCTGGGTCCCATCTCTAACTGGTGATGCCTCAGAGTGCTGTAATGTACAGATTTTCACTGAATAGCTGTATTCCCAAGGAAACTGCTACCATCCCATTTTTACCTAGAGCAGAGAATGATACTTTGTCTGCAACTGCTCTGTTCCTTAACCAGTGCTGTGAAATGTTAATTTTCTTCAAAAGCCAACAAAATCTTAAGTGGTTTGCCTGAATACAAAACCTTGAGTGTAAAATAGTGCTTTTTATATATATCTCAGATAAGACTGAATCCTACCTCCCCAGTTTTCCTTCTTTTCTCTACCATCATCCCTCCTAGAAGGCAGCAAAACAAACAGAGGAATGTTTAGTCTCTCTGTTTGTCTGGCTTTTTTTTTCACTCATGCAGCAAAAAATGTTTAATTCAATGCATCTAGCATCTGATTAAGTTAGTGTTTGCAGAGATCAGGGAATGACACCCCAGGTTAGATCACAGTCAAGTAAATGTGGGATTCACAGATGTAATTTTCTTTTGCCTAAGGCACCTGCACCCAGTCATCTGCCTTTTTCCACTGAACTTCAGGATTAGGAGTACTTGTATCAGTTGATTCTCCTCTCACTCTTCCTGCCCCCCTGTTCTCACTCATCCCTGTGCAAAGGCATCAGCCATGGCCAATTTTCCACATGGCTGTATAGCAGTAACTTTCTTGCTGGAGCTGCTTATGCCACAGTCAGGACACTGCCTGCACCCAGAAGCAAAGGATCTCATGCCATTGCTTCTTCAAGCTCCACAAGTGAGGTATGAACCACTCCTGTACCACTTTGGAAGTAGTACTGGCATTGCCCTTTGAGTATGCCCAGTGCATGTGAGTAATGCTTTGCTCCTAGGCAGTGACAGCAAGCTGAGGTCATTCACAAAGTCCTCACAAGTCCAGTGGGAGACTGTCTAGACTCTCAAAATAATTCAAGGATTTCTGCCAAAGATTACATAATGGGAAGTTTTAATTTGCCATCCTTAGCACCATAATTGGTACCTAACTTATTTCATGCTCAGCTTAGTCCAACCAGTTGTTGTTTCAGCTAAAATCTTAATTAGATCCAAAGTTAGCCTTACCAGGGTCAAATGGTTCTACTGTATAAATGTGAGGTGTTCTTTTTGACTATAAGGTGTGTCAACACATTGTATCTAGGGGCAACCTGTACTTTTCCCATGTTTGTACCAATGCCAAATTCAAAGGGAGATCCTTGTTCCTTCTTCATCTGTCTTCTAGAGCTCAATTGATTCAAACAGCTGTCCAGGGGAAGGCAAGCAAAAAGAAATTACAAAGCAGAAAAAGCTGCTCTGGGAGCAGGACAGTATGTCATCTCTGAAAAGCAAGGAAAGTGAACTCTGGCAAGAAAAGAGGAGGTATGTATTAACCCTAAGCATTTCACAGCCCTGTGGAGCTTTGTGTTCTATTGGCTTCTGGGATATCACACGTGCCCACAATTGATGCTGGAGCATCAGCACTTGGTGGCCTTGATACAATATATCCTGACCAGGATTCACTGGCCCCACACACAGATGCATGTGTGGCAGTGCACAGTGCTAGTTGTGCATATCAGAAGTCTTGCCTTTTCCTTGTATGGCTTTGCAAAGAGGCTGTCACAGCAACCAGATCAGACCTTAGACAGGTCAGACATCTGTGTACGTCACTGCGCTGTGTCTTGTTCACATTTCACAAGACATCTGAAGGACTAAAGGAGAGTAGCTGTTTTCACTCAGAACCTGTGTGAAATTGCCTGGCTGTCTCAGAAATGCCATACCCAATCTTGCCAGGTGGTGTTTGAAGTCCTGGACTTTGCTCAACTGCTAATTAACAGGTTTCACAAAAGAGAAGAAGCATCTGATGATGCTGAGCAGTGTATAGAGAACATGGATTAAAGCTTTTTTTCTGTCAAAGAAGCCCTTTTCTACAAATCCAAAATGATCTTCAGCACATCTAAGTGGCAGTTTGAGGTAAGCAGAAAGGCTTCGACTCTTTGGAGACAAACTTGTTAATTCATCAAAGTTTTTTCATTGCTTTGTCATTGCAAAATTGACACAATAACAAAAATCTTTGTAAAAAATAGACTGATATTCAAAAGTCTGATTTAGCCATTATGTTCTAGGTGACATTTCTCCTGGCTTTATTTATACAATGTGACTTATTTTTATTGGCAGTGGAAATAAAGTGCTCTCAGGATACCCAGCGACTGGTATCCTGAAAGGAGGAAGTGAGCAGGAGCACCACATGCCGGTGATGGAGCGCGGCTCACCTGCCAGACTGAACCTGCCGCTGGCTCAGGATGACAGTAAGACTCTTCCTGTGCATACGTTCTTCTGCAGATAGAAATCAGGCAGGAGCCTAACTCAAACAATTTTGGACAGTATGCATATATCTTCAAAACTGGAATGTCTCAGAATAAAAATTTATTTTATGTTAGCAAAGATAAATATGTTAAGGTGAAACTCCTCTTGTTTTCATCAGAGATGACAGTTTCTGCAGCAGATATCTCATTTGTGGGCCTGCATGTTCACATTAGCAATTAAAAGGGTTATCTTCCATCTTTTACATAATCTTACATACATATAGGATTTATCTTGATACAAAGAGCATATTTCCAACACTTATTTTGTGTTTTTATAGCTAATTAGATTCTTCATGTCTATTTCAGTCCAGTCAAAATCACGACATGTGATATGTAACCTTTTCAAATCAAGCCTAAAGCGACATCTGCCTCAATTTTGTCATTAGCAATGTCTAATGACATTTAGAGTTAATTTATTTTTTTTAGCTCCCATAAGTATTGATGTTTTTGAAGGAAAGAATTTCCCCAAAGCATTGCTGTCATGAGGGTCCCCCTAAAAAAAAGGGCAAATTCATGAATTTAGCATCATTATCTATCTAATACAAGTGATCAGTGGAAAGTAAATAAGTAGAACTAAAGACAGAAAGTGAATGTAAATTCTGAAATCAAGTTTTAGATTTTTGTTTTCAGTTCAGCATAAAAAATCATTATTCTAAAAAATTAAGTGTCTGTGGATGGAAAGGTTTTCAATGTTATTACTTGCTCCAAATGCAAATTCAGTCTATTAAACTTAGTAGTTTGTTTTCTTTGTCTCAGTTTTATTGTATTCCTAGTGCTTTGATAAAAGTTGCACAAAGAAAGAAAGAAAGCAGAATGTATATTATCCAGCAATGCAGCCTTGGGGATTTGTAGTAGCAATTAAGCAAATGTAACAGGTTTGCAATTTAAAACTACGTCTGCTAATAACCCTGCTTCAGGGTTTTCCTAGGTTCTTTTCAACAATTTGGTCCTCTGCAAGTATTCTGACAGCTCCTTTCTTTCCTCTTAAAGCATCCCATCCTTGCTCCCTCCTTAAGCCCTTAAATAATCAAGTGTGTGGATTTATTGTCTTGATATCAAAATAGGTAGCAGGCCTTTCATAGGCCCCAGCAAAGTTTTCATTCTCTAAACCAGATGGTTTGCACATGGCAGGGTAAGGCTTCTCTCCAGCTGTGAGCCACAAAATTCACCCTGCAGGGTCCAGGTAATGCTCTGTTTCTCAAAGACAGGATGGCTGGCTGCCTGGGTGTCTCACAGGTTGTTGCTTTTTGCTGTGAGGCTGTTGCTGTCACTGAGCCATCTGAAGCACAGAAGAAAATTACAAAGGAATTACTGTTCATCAGGTTTATGGAGAGCAGTGGCTATACCACCATCCCCTTAACTCTTGCTAATGAGAAGTTTGGATTCTCCAGCACCATAGATGTTTCCCTGTCTCTGGTTCTTTCTTCATTACGACAGTACAGTATTTTCCCAAGTGTTGTTTGTGGATGGCTGTTTGACCTTGCCCTTTCCCCCTTCAGAAACATGTTCAGCAGCAGGGTAGATCATGTGTATGTGAAGGTAATGCTAAGGAATGGTGTTCCATAAAGGTCTCCTGATGTAGCATAGCATGATGTCTCTGACTTTGTGGGGGTTTCTGAGAAGTTTGTTTTAAGGAACAGCACATCTCTCTCCTCCAGCACCATAGAAGTTTCCGTGTCTTTAGTTCTTCCTTCATTACGACAGTACAGTATTTTCCCAAGTGTTGTTTGTGGATGGCTGTTTGACCTTGCCCTTTCCCCCTTCAGAAACATGTTCAGCAGCAGGGTAGATCATGTGTATGTGAGGGTAATGCTAAGGAATGCTGTTCCATAGTAGTCTCCTGATGTAGCAAAACCTGTCTCTAACTTTGTAGGGGTTTCTGAGAAGTTTGTTTTAAGGAACAGTACATCTCTCTCCTTTGTTGTGTGCCCACAATCCATGATGGTTTATAAATACTGACAAAAGCATTTTGCCTCAAATACTGAGTTTTCCCCACCTCTGGCTGTAGATGTCTCCTGGAATCAGCAGTTGCTGACAAAGCGATCTCCACAGTGCGCAGAGGACGTTCGACAGAGGCCGTTCCTGGGCCAGACTGTGGGACAGCAACCAAGCTCTGCAGGGGAAGCAAGGAGGTGAGAACATAAAGGTTATTGAAGAGATTGAAAGGTCCTACTTGCTCTGTTCTGCCTTATGCTCCTGCTCAGCATCCTTTATTGGTTGGGTTTGATGAGTCCTGCAGTGTGAAGACACCTTTCATGTCTGGCTTTCCCACAGAGACTGCTAATATTTATCTACTTGATTTCTCATTACAGGCACCACAGTTACTAATTTCAAGAGGGAGCACACCCCCTGCATGCCTCCCTCTTCTTTCTCTGTAGCTCTTTCAGCACATATCTGCATAACTTTTCATGTGCTTAATGTGTTTGAATTGCCTGAGATGAACATTTATAGCTAATAAGCAGCTAAATATGAGGGTGGGAATGTCAGGATATATATGCCTCTGGTATCCAAGAGCTTCATTCTCCATCTTCCAAACACATACTGATTGCTACTTTTCTAGTCCTTTAAAGACTATACCTTTTAAAAGAAGATACGTATAGAGTAGTATTTGCCCTCTGCTGTAAATTTTGGTGAGATCTTTTTCTTTGCTGCTTTGCCTGTGCTTTTTGAGTAAGCCTTACTGAATGGTAACACCAGTTATTTTGGTAAATAAGAAATATGTTTGCCTGGTATTTACAAAAAGAAGCTCTGCAATGAGAAAGGAACATCTGTTTTCATTAGCGTATACATGAGCACAGTCTTCTGCAGAACCTGTTACCTTTATTAAGGTTGTATCTAGTCAAAACTAATGTAGATTGAGGTTTGATTACCTCTTCCTCATTATAAACTGCTTGTGTGTATGTTTGAGAAAATTGTTATTTAATCTGTGAACCATTTTAAGCAGTTACGGTTTGGATCAGTCCTATGATTTCTGACAACGAAAACCATGGTTTGGATCACCAAGCTCTTTCAGAGTAGCATAGATACAAAATAACCATTAACCAAATAAGCTACCTTTCCATGTGGGTAGCTTCCTTTTTGCTCAGTAAAGGGCCAACAGAGAGTGTAGTGTGGTGTGACGTGACTTGACTTAACCCTCCTTCATCATGGTGGGAGCTCTGGTGGGTTGGTGGGGTGGGCAGGAGTCTCCACATGGCTGATTACCGTGTGAGTTACCTGATTGCACAGCAGCAAGCAGACTAAGACTCAGAACCAAAAATCCTGAAATTCACTAACTGGAATTTCTCCACACAAAACCTGTTTTTATTTGCTCTTCAGCTGTAGTAATGCATCTTCTCTGCTGTATTTTAGGGCAGGCTATCATGAGAATTTCCGATCTGGGCCATCATCTCCCTGCTCTCCTGCTGCTCTCAGTCAGTCACCCAACAGGTACTAAAGGTCAATAAGGAATTTTGCAGACCAAACACATCTTGTAGTTGTCAGAGTGAAAATCACATTAGTATTATGTGGTGCACTATTAAGTCTGCTAAATGTTGCAATTCCTAGCTGTCCATGGGATAAACATGTAGCTCCCTGTCCCATGTTTTTTGCCATCTTCAGTGGTGCTACATTTTCAAATAACACAGTTCAGAAAGCAGCTCTAGAACTCTGCTTGATCACTGAAGTTTCAATAAAAATGAAATGGGACAGTACAAACCTCAGTCAAAGTGTGAACTCAGAACACTTAAGCCAAAGAATGTCTTCATTATGAATAGTCACATGCTCAGGAGTAAGATGTGTTCTAGACATTGGCACTTGCTGATTTAAAAATAATTTTTTCCTTTCATTTCCAAACTAGAAACCTATTTTGCTTTTTTTCTGATTTTGTTTGTCCACGATCATGCTAATCTCCTAGAGATTTCAGTCTCTCGAGCAATCTGTACATTTTTCAGTGAGTTATGTGTACCAACTCTAAATAAATGTAGCCTGATTAAATCACTGATGATTTGGGATATATTAAAATCAGTTTGCTTATTATATAGGGTAAATTAATACAACACAGAACACAGCAAGTTTCTTTCTTTTTAAATTGCATTGTTCTTCACTTTTCAGAGCAAAGCCCTCTGATATCACTTGCATTGATGTGAAACTATTGGGAATTTTATACAATATAAAATGTATTTTGTTTTTCTAACCGTAGCTGCAGTTTTGGTGGAATTGTAGATCATTTCCCTGCTACAGGTCACTAGTTGTGATAGCTACTTCACATTATTAAGTAGCTATATTCTGATCTGAGAATCTTTTGCATGATCTTTTCCTGAAATAAATCTTAGTTTTGTAAACAATAGATGGGATTTAATTCATTTTTTCACTAAAACATTAGAAAACTCTTAAAAATTTCCTGAGACCCAAGACTTTAATTTGCCCTTGTAGTAACTCTAATAGTGGAGAAGAAGTTAAAAACAAAAGTGAACTCAGGAATAACATAGAAGCAGAAGGGTTAAGCCTGTAGGAGGGGAGAAAAAAAATACGAAGCAAAGTTATTCGAAAAGGAATAATAATAATGAAGCAACAAGAGGGTCATATGTCTGTGCTCCTGTGTACCTGGTGGGCTCAATAATTGGAAGGAAGGACAATTTTCTAATTGTGATGAGTTTTTCTGCTGTTTCTGTCTCTCTTTCTCTGTCTCTCTTTTTTTTTTTTCCCCTAAATGGCTCTTTTGTCGTGCTGCAGTTCAGGTCTTTCTCTGTTGGTGGCTTATTATGTTGCTGCATCAAAACCTTATAGCAAGAGATTGTAAATTTGTTTATCTGAGTAGGATTTCATCAAACTGTCTTTTCAAAACTAATGAAGTATCACAGAGTTTTTCTCCTGGTTTCAGCCCTGGCTGAAAAAAGCATGGATGACACAGAACGACAGGGGATCCCTTTTGATCTCAGGTTCATCTCACTAGGCCAAGCATCAGTTCTGGCAGGCTGCCAAGTGGGAGAGACGTGAAGAGCGTGAGACCCATAAAGTGGGCACCTGTACTGCTATTAAAACCATTATGAGAAAGGGCACCAGTTGTTCCTGGGGCTCTGAACCTTCACCCACCTGTCATCCAACAGCAGATTTAGGAGAGATGTCTAGACAGTCCTTCAGGACTGCTGAAGGTGCAAGTTGAAGTATTTTCTGCATTGCAGGTGGAGATCCAATTTCAGGTTTTCTCTGTCTAGTTATAATCTTAAGTGGCTGCAGCAGCACAGACTGAAATGAGTCAGCCAGTGCCTGGTCTGTGCTACTGTAGTTATGCTGTCACTATTGGCTTCACCAGCTTGATTGGGTGCAAGAATAGCATCCCTGTTTTCTGACTTGCAGTGAGCAAGTCCATTTGTAAACAAACTGAAAAAATTTCCAGGCTGAGAGTCTGACTCAGGTAATTTGTGTGAATTGCTGTGGCACTGACTAGGTCTAAATAACCTTTACTGTAAGGGTGGTGAGGCACTGAGGCAGATTGCCAGATAGACTGTGGACTCCCCATCCCTAAAGGTGTTAAAGGCCAGTTTGGATGGGGCTCTAAATAACCTGGTCTAGTGGAAGGTTCTCTGACTTTGGCTGGGGGTTGGAACTACATAATCTTTAAGGTCCCTTCCAATCCTAACGATTCTGTGATTCTGTGAATCCACAGGCATGGTTCCCTGTCACCCAGGCCTCTGTTAAGAGGCTTGCATCTCCCTTGATCTAGCACAGCAGACTGGCAGTGAAATGTGTCCGAGCTGCTGTGCATTGAAGCATTTTAAGCCCTTTCTTGCTTATCTGGAAGGCAGATGTGCAGGTGGATTCAGTAACATGGCTGAAGGGTCAATGTGTACTTATATAAACTCCTCCAGTGCTCCTTCTTCCCATTCTGTCCCTCTTGATAAACCTATCTAAATATTTGGCTTCATTTTATCATCAGTTGCAGCGTTCTCACAGCCATGTTTGCCTCCTAGGTCTGTCAGCGGGAAGAAGCTTTGTTCTACCTGTGGTCTCCCTCTTGGAAAAGGAGCTGCCATGATTATTGAAACACTCGGTCTTTATTTCCATATTCAGTGCTTCAGGGTATGGTTCTTGCTTTATTAAGAAAAACCTCAAGTCATGCACAGTGCAAGTAGAGAGTAGAAGTGAAACTGAACCTGAGAGGATCGGGGGATTTACATGACTGTTATGTCTGAGCATGTTTGTGAAGAAGTGGATGTAACACAACTAATGTGTTATTTTGTAGTCAGACACATTAACTTGACTAAAACCTGCGATCATGCAAGCAAACTTAGCTTCTGTACTTACAAGGGGGAAGCATCATATAATTTCTCTATTGTGCTCATTGTTTTTTAAATGTAACATTATTTACTTTGTGAGTTTTTTAGCTGTTTTTTCTTTTTTCCTTCCAAAAGCATGATCAGTCCCAAAGCCATCTTTGATTTGCCCCATAGTTGGAAAGCTGTCACTGTGGAATGAATGGTGTATTCTGGCTTCTACCAGATATATTTCTTGACTGTTCTTGAGTGTTTCAGTTTGGAAATAATCTGAAGTGTTTTATAGAGAAATCAGAAAGTATCTGTTTCCATTATCTCTGGCTCAATTGATATTAGACATTTGTGAAGACTTTCTTGATTTTAGACATTTACCCAGACTAAATCTCTGGCCTCTTTAAACTTTATCCATTACAACTGACCTGTCTCCAGAATGCAGCCTCAAAGTCAGATGTCCCATACAAGAATTAGTCTTCACTTCTGTGTAAGCAGAGGCTGCTGAAATCCAGTCCTAAACACTTCTGAATATATAAAAACCCTCTTACTGGTTTGCAGTGTTCCCCAGGAGTATGGGCTGGGTTCTAGGCAGGTATTTTTCTCACCGTTCCAAGAGCTACTTAAACAATAGTAAAAGTTTGGGAAGAGTTGTGACAAATAGTAGGGCATGGTCTCTCTTACTTTCTCTGTTCTTCAACTGACAGTGTGGCGTTTGCAAGGGCCAGCTGGGAGATGCAGCGAGTGGCACGGATGTCAGGATTAGAAATGGTCTTCTTAACTGCAACGATTGTTATATCCGATCCCGAAGTAAGTACCAAATTCTGGCACCTCTGACAATCCTGTGGCCATGATTTTAACTGGCAGCTCTGTCCCGTTCTGACACTCACGTGTAGCTTTGCCATGGGAAAAGGAGTCTTCCCACACCATTTTAATGATTTTCTCATATCAGAAAAGATTTCCAAACCCATTAAATTTTCCCAGAGGATCTCTGCTGAGCACCATTAGACTAAAGGCTGTTTCTGTGCATAAACTCCTATACTATGCACACTCATTGCATGACCCGGAGGCTTGGATCTTTCATATCACATGACACAATGCAAATAATTCTACCCGATCTAGGACCCTGGGCCATGTTTGGAGAAGTTCCCATTTTTTAAATCTCTAGGCCTTCCTTTTGTAGACAAAATGGTCATGTAAAATATTAAGAACATTCTGTAACTCGTAGTGAATCCTTGTGGTGGTATCCCCAGATACAAGCTAAATAGTGTTGTTTGCCGTAAATTTTGAATAATGAGCCAGACAATTGCATGTCAGAAAGAAAACTTTGTGATTTTTCTGCCTTAGAGCAGGTCGCCTAAATGTCTTTCCAAGTCCTGGTTTTCTGTGACTGATACCAAATTACTAGAATATTTTGGCTTTGCTCCAGTGTCACCAGTGGTGGTCAGTGCTCATGCTAGTCTCCACCTTGTGGAAACAGTGAGATGCAAAACAATAGGAGTAATTGTTGTCTTCCTGTTAAATATTATTTGGTATATTCACTGCCTACAGTTCCAACTGATAAGTGGACATCTAGAGCTCTTTTTTCTTACTATTTCCCTTGCCCTCTCTCAAAAGCACTGGCTGTAGAAATTCAGGAGTAGGAAACGTACCTCCCTACCTTTGCCAGAAGAAAAATGGGTACTTTTGCTCTGGTGCTTCAGGAACGAGATACTTCTCCCTCAGCAGAGCTAGAGGGTGCTATTGTATAACTGGTTTTTTGGCAATTTTTTCCTTAAATTCTGCTAAGAAATGTTATCAGCTTTTTATTATTTATTTAACCTGAAATATTTTGAAAAAGCTTTTTCCCTTTGTGCTTGATACTGTAAACCTTCCTCATGTGGATGAGGTCCTGACCCTTAAAATGCAGATTTGCATATCCAGCTTTCCACAAAAAAAAAGAGAGAAAGATATAAAAGATATTGTTTCCTTTTCTTCTTAGTCCTTTTTGCTTAAATAAAAATCTGTGTCCCTTGAGGATAGATAAAGGCTCAAAAATTATCAGCTTATATGCTGTAGAAATCACTCTCTCCATCGTTATTTCTACAGCAGTGTTACTAGAAAATGCATTAGAGAGGTGTGTGCAGTGTTTCATGTAAAAATGTTTTATATTTGTACATACCCAGGAGAATGGTAACCAAGTCCATGACAGAGGAAGTAGGTTTTGACAAAATGTATGGCTACTGAAGAATAATAATGGCAAGTGGGTTTTAATTTTTACAACAAATTTTCTCTTCCTGCTGTGTCCACTGGTCATGCAAAATCTCAAAATCCAGTTAGTTGAATTTAAGCTACAGTAACTGTTGTTGACAATTCAAAGGGACTGCTTGTGATAGAACTGCAACTATTGCTAGTTGCTATTTTTAAACTAAAATTTGATGCACTGCACACCTGAAATTAAGGATAAACTGGTGCAATGTCAGTGTTTTGCCTTTCAGTTCTGGGAATAATGCTGCAAAATGTCAAATCAGTTGTTTGATTGCATGGCTTGTGCCTTCCTGTCCCCATGAAAGCCATGCAGCAGTGGGCAGAAGTGATGGTCTCTGCCTAACCCAGGGTTAGTCAGTATTGTTTTGGGACACTTATGGACATCTTGATGAAATATTTTGACTCCCAGAAGCTTATCTGAAAAAATGGACAATTCTGTCTCAAAATATAGAGTCAAAAAAGATGACTAGAAAAGCATTAAGGATTATGTTGTGGTCCAGAGTCCAAAATATTTTTAGTTTTTAGATAAAAGTAGATGGGGTTTTTATCAGTAGGTTGTTTCTATACAACAAAACCTCACAAGGAAGGAAATTCTCTATTCAGTGTCAAACACAGGGAATGGTCACAGGTTGATGAGTGTCAAAGGTGAGAAGTAAATTCATGAGATTCCCTATATGGCCAAATAGCACAAGGAGTCTGTAGTACCAGGTAGCACAAGCTAGGCTCAGCTGAAGATGACTCAGCAGTCCTTTACTTTATTATTTTGCCACTTCAGAGCCTGAAATAAACATACCCACGAGTACTTTGGGCATAAAATAAGATAAAACTTCGTGCAGAATGCATTCAACACATGGCAATGTATTTCCACTGGAATTATGCTGAATCTTTGTAGTGGTTACTGCCCCAACTTTGCAGGAGAAAGAAAAAAAACTGGCCACAAATATATGTAGCTCCAGATACATTTTTTTTCATTGTGGAGATCATATAGAGAAAAGTCTGTATTTGTTAAAATTTGTAACCAATTACTTGTTTTGGTTTTGTTTTACCTAGCTGCTGGACAGCCAACTACATTGTGACATGACTTTCAGTCCTAATAAATTTCAAGAAGGAACTCTCTTCCCATATGTATCGGCTGCCTCCAGACAATCACTTGTAAAAGCTTGAATCCATGGACATGATGGCTCTCATCTCGTTTTTAAAAACTCACAAAAAAGCTGCACCTGCTCCTTTGAAATGCAATATGTTGGTTTTTGCTTCCTTAAGAAATTTGAAAAATATGTATGACCATGTTTGGGAAGGCAAAGCCTAAGTACTATTTAAAAAAAAAAAACAAAACACCTTTCAGGTATGCTTATGATACCCAATCTGTTATCTTGTTCTTTTGAAAGTAATAAGAGAATAAACATGCAATAAAGCTGTTTTGTTTTAATATTTCTAGCAATTAAAAAGTTTAAGTTTACAGAACCTTTATAGCATATGCCAACTTGAGCTGAGAAGTAATTTTGAGATAGTATCTAATCAGTGCATTTGAAAAACTAAACATCACAGCACGACTTCTCTGTTATAACTGAAGCTATAACTTTTTTTATACAGAGACTAGTTTGATAATACATCCTGTACTTCTGAAGCATTTTCTGTTTATATTACCTTCAATGGAGGGTAGAAGTTAAACAAATAAATTATTGCACCTTTAGTCATAGGATTTTTTGTTTGTGTACCTCAAGTAATGTTCATGACTATAGCTTAATATTCTCTGAAATAAAGATTTCTTCATTAAACCTAAAGACTGCATACCATTAACAATGGGAAAATTCCCATCAGGAGCAATCCTTAGTAAGTCCAGCAGCCTGTGTTGTTATTAAACTCGATGGAAGGTGATGTGGGGCAGAGCAGCCGAGCGGCAGACCCAGTGGAGCTGTGAGTCTCCGAGCTGCAGTTTGATGCTGTGGTGAAGCTTTTCTCTTTGGCTTGTAACTTGCCAGTTGATTTGAGTGGGTTGGACATCTGCTCATTCACTTGCAAACATCACACTTGGTTGAAATGGTTTCTCACGCAGAGAAACACTTGTGGTTTGGTACCCCCCAGGGTAGAGAATTAGACATCCTTGAGCCTGTGTTCCTCCATCCACTATCCAAAAATAGTCAGAAAAACCCAGAAGTGTGGAAGATGGGCAGGGAGGAGGCTGGAGCCACAGGCGGAAAAACTACCTTCCTGTGTTTGGGACAGTTTTCCTTTGTGCTCTTTGATTAAGCATGTGCTCCTTACTAAAGTGATCCAGCAGCTCATTGAAACAGGTTCAGCAGGTATCTACAATACACAAACAAAGTTAGGGAATGTATTGCAACTGTAAACTAGCACTTTTTGGTAAACATTTACTGGAAATATCTTCAAATGGAGGGAAAAAAAATCTTTTTCTGCCTTAAAACCACTATAAAACTAAATGAATAGAGTTTTCTTTTATCTATGTGCGTATCTGTCATCTTTTGATGTGTTGGTAGATAGAAATGAAGTGGTTATTAGGGAAGCAATAATTCTGAGTTGATCTCTAGATAGCAATTATTTATTGAAATGCTAGACAGTTGCTTGCATGTGAGTTGCATAACCATGCAAAACTGCATGTCATCAAACACACACATGCTATGTCATTGGAGGACATTGTGACTATCTTCTGGAAAGTTACATGTTACTTCCTTAATACTGTGCCTTAGAAAATGCAGAGTTGTTGCACACAGTCAGCAATGACTTATGGATGCAATAAATCCAAAAAGCTGAAGTTCTTCATGGACTTCACCTGGGGAATATTTTTAAGCAAAAATTAAATAAATCAGACAAATGTTTTGGAACTAAAACTGATATCCTATATTTTGATCAACCACCTGCATGATTTACTGTTTAAAGGTTTTGATAACCAGGATGCTTACTCTCTGCTTGTGGTTGTTATAACATTTTCCCATAAAGAATGTGTAACATGGAAATTCAAGAAGCAGATTTCATAACTGATGTGGTACATCTGTATAACTGCATACGCTGCATTAAGGATATGTAAATATATAATGTCTGAACCTAACTTTTAAACGAGACTGTGCATGCTTGTGCATCTATTCGATATGAGTCTCTAGCACTGCTTCACCCATGTGATAGAGTTAGATGTGCAAATCAGTCCCCAAGTGTATCAAAGGTTGGCTGTCTCAGAGGTCAGGTCCGCTTCTCATTCATGTAGGGGTAAGCGCCCAAAGGGCTTAGGTGCATGGTTGGGATAAAGTGCATGAAAGAGGTGGGGAGGGATATTGCATCGCACTGCAGACACATCACTGGGTCTCTGGAGATGCTTAGAAATTGACCCCAGTGTCTATCAGATAGTTTTGTATATGCATGTTTTAGCAAAGTTGATTGTACTCAAAGCGAAATGAAGCAGCGCTCAATGATGACCATTTTTTCCCCTAATGAACATCTATTCACCAGCACAGAATGATTTCCAACAGTTTTCTAAATCGTACTTGCCAACTTCTTATGTTTGATTTTATATTCCCTCTGGAATCTTACATGAAAAATTCATTCAGGCTATGATTTTTTTCTTTTTTTCTTTTTTTCTTTTTTTCTTTTTTTTTTTCCAGTTTAAACACATTACCATTATACATTTCTAATCAGGAACTTTGAGCACAGAAAAAAAAATAATGCTTTCCTACATTTGAACTGCAATGTAAATGTATTTGTTCCAAAAAGTGATTTATTATTACTGAGCAAGTACAGTACATGTAATGGATTTTAGATGTTTTGGAATTTATTTAGCCTCTTACTACTTCAGAGAACCTGAACAGGTGTCATAACCCATCTGTATTTTACAAGCCCATTTTCATGGTGTATTTTTTTCCTTACTCTTGCTATGTAGTGTTATTGATGCAGTACATCTGTAGTTTTCAGTGAATGTCGTAAAGGTTGGTGAACCAGAAGGGGACCATCCTTATCTGCATGTCCATTCAGGGACAAGGATTGCTCTCCTAGCTGGGGCTAATGTTGAACACCAATTATGCTAATCTTCCCTTTATTTTATTTATTCTAAAATGCCTCTGGAAATTAGGAAAACTTGTCTAAAACTCAACAGCTTTTATAGTAAATGTATGTTTATAAATAAAATGTTGATTACCTTTGGTGGTGTTGATTTTACTTGTTCTAACTAACTTCTATTGTGTGAACCTGGATTGCAGAGTAGAGGCTTCTGCTTGGTTGGGCTTCGCTGAGCCAAACTATGTTCCCCAGGACTTAGTATATGAGATAAGATAATAAAAAAGACATAGCTGAGATGGCAAAATACACTGTGGATTGCCAATGAAAGCTGTAGCCCTCTATTCACAAGAGCAAGTGTGCCTGTTGTGGTAAAGTATCAACAGAAAAGGCTTTCTGTGAAGAGGCAAACTCAAAGTCCTCAGATCTTTCATCAGTATTGGTGGACTGTGGTTCAGACCTTCACTCAACAAAGCACTTTGTATATGGCAGTGCTAAATATGTGCTTGGTTAATTCCATTTCCACATCGCAAAGATCCTGGAGTTTGTGCTTAGTTTTGCACTTGCTGAGGTATCTCACTAATTCTTGAATTGCAACAAGGGTGTGACTTGTCCAGTCACCAGCAGAAAGTTCATACAAAATTTTAAACTAATAACTGCCCCTTTTTCTGCTTTTTAATTGGGTCTTAAGTGGATAACAAGTTTGGGTTTGTGCCAATAGAGCATCTTGGTTGTTAGATGAGTCATGGGGATGTACAGACAATTTAATTTTCTTTCATTCATTCATTCATTCATTCATTCATTCATTCATTCATTCATTCATTCATTCATTTTTATCCTGGTTCCCTAATGGCAGTGGTGGTGGTCATACACCATTCCTGCGTGTCCATGAAGGCCAGCATTCTCTCTGCTGGCTGAGGCATGCTGGGATTCCCAGCAGTGCCATCGGTGCCCTGTCTGTGGGAGCAGCTTGCTGCCGCTGGAGGTTGCTCTGAGGCTGGATTTGGAGGCAGTCAGGCGGCTATTTCTGCTCCAGCAACTCTGCACCAAGGCTGCTTGGCACACGGACAAACACTGTTTGTGACCCTTGTGACCGGGGGAAATGGTGGCAATCCTGGTATGATTTTTTGTAATATTTTTATTATTACTATTTCCTGGTGAATGTGACCTGCACAGTCATTTATGATCCTAAAAGGGAACCATTGGGGTGCATTCACCGGGCAAAATAATTTTGAATACCTTGTAAATGGGGAGTTGTGTCACCTGGTCACCTCCCCAGGACCTTCACCTGCAGGTAGCAAAGGCTGCCTGGAGGGCCCCGAGGGAAACCATGGTGCTCACAGGGCCTTGGCATGCCCCAGGAGAGGACTCTGGCTTGTTGAGCAGTGGGATGAAGCTGAGGGCATATGGGAGAAATAGGAGGTGATGGGAGAGAGGAGTGGGCTGTTACAGCAGAGTTCAAACATCAGAGCAGAGGATACCCCACACAAAGAGGGATGTGTGCATGGCACCCCAGGAGAGCTCTGTGCCTCCTCTGCATCCTGTCTGGGTGTGATGCTTCCATCCCTCTCCCCCATCATAGACTGTTGGGACAAGTGCTCAGTTTCCTCCATCCAACCCACTTTGTTTTGCTCATTTTTTTCTCTCCTTAGCAGGTGTTTTGGTGCAGAGGTCATCAGTGAGCACAGACAGGTGCTGGTAGCTGCAGGAGGCTCTAGGCACAGGTGATGAACATCTGTAGCTTGCTTACCTTGTGAGTATTGATCCTGATCCAGTGAACTCTTCTGGAGCATAGTTAAAAGCAGGCAGCTATCACTTTGTTTAGAAAATTAGCTTTAGGTATGGGTCTTGATGGTCCCCTTCCTGGTAATGGAAGGCTGGTCAAGTAGTTACTCAATAAAATTTGCAGTGAGGAAGCCTGCCCTTTACCAGGTTGGGTAACTGGGGAACAAAATGACAAGATGACAGAGACACATCTGCAGTGAAAATCAGAAGGGGTTGTGAATGCTCGAAATGAGCAGATGACCACTACTTGGATGGGAAAACAAAAATGTCAGTAAAATAAATCTCTTGTAAAGGCAAGCAGGTCTCCTATACAGTTTTAAAAGCCTCCGGTAGGAATGTAATTTCATCTGAATTTCCTGATAAGGGGAAATGACTAAACTGGAAGCTGCTCAAGTTTTTCAAGTAATAAGAGCCCAAAAAAAGAGATAGAAGGTACAGGACAGGATGTGACTCTTTCTACAGTACAGTGGGGGGGTTGGTAATTGAGGGGTTGTGGGGGGTGTCTATTTTCTAGTTCATGTTTTTTATAAAATGTAGCATGAGTTAAACATGCAAGAGGGAGCTGCTGCTCCGTAGATCTTATGGAATGCCTCACGCTCTGCAAGAGTAACTAGTGAAGCTAGGTAAACCCCAAAGCATATGGGGTTTTAAGTCATTTAGGAAAAAAAACCCTCCATTTTTCAAGATAATCTTATAAGTCACTGTTCACTCATCCATAGAGTCCATCTGCTTCACTGCACATGATGCACTGTAAGTTCTCTTAGCTAATGCCACATCCATAGTTCACAGATGTATTTTTTTCCTAAGCAGATGACCTGCTGGTTAAAAACTGCAGAAGCCAGTCATGGGTCTAGAAACTAAATCAAAACTAACCAAACTGCAAATCTTTCCTTGAAATAACAGAATTTATCAAATGGGGAAAGAAAGCAAGATTTCAAAAATTCCTTTTTTCTGTTACATCTGATTATAGACAAAACCACTCCAATTACAAGCACAGAAACAGAGACATGCTGTCCACATGTCTGGAAACTATGTGTAGTAATGCTGGAACTGCTGTTCCAGGGATCTGGACTTGGGGGTTTGCAATGGCTATCCCCTTTCTTCAGTGGCCAAGTGCTCTTTGGCTGTCTTTGGGGTGGTTCATAAAACTTTGTGAGTGTGCACAACGCAAAGGGGGTGTTACAATAATCCTCAATATAACAATATGTCCCTATCATGCAAATTGAGGATGTCACCTCCAAATGCACTTTCTGGGACCACATCTAAACATTGCCTGGTGAGAACAAAGTGGCTATTTTTCCAAAAGATGTGAAATGTAGGGTTTTTTTAAAAATCTAATTGCAAATTTTTCTTCGGAAAAATGAATTCTAGTGAGTGATTTGGCATCTGTGTGGTGTATTAATTAATAGTAATGCATTGAAGTAGACTGGGTTGCAGCATGGGCTTTCTGTGTTGGACTTTGTGCAATTATGCAGGTCTTAAAGTTTTTCCTGACTGGTACACAATGATAACACTCAGATAATTTCCAGCCTGAGGGTGAAGTTCTCTGAACTGTTTCATGAACTGGTGTTCTGGAAGTTTTCTAGAAAACATTTGGCTTGGCTCATATTTGATGTTTTCTGTGCCCTTCCTGATTCCATGGGTTTATACTGGAGCCATTCTTGGGCAGAGGGAAGTGGTCATGGTTTGTCACGGTCTCTGGGGAGTGGAAGACACTGCTCACAGAGTCTGGAGAGGAAAAGCCTTGCACTGAAGCCAGACATGACCCTGCAAACCCTCTGTGCCCAGCCATGTCCCAGTTAGGCTTTAGATAGGATAAATGTGAAGACAGTTGTGTTAGATAGACCTATGAAATGCATTCTGTCTTCTTGTTCTAAGTATTCACAGGTGTTCAATGAGTTTAAAATGGATGGATAGAAGGACAGCACTCTATGTAAAAAAGAAGCCAGTTAACACATATCTTACCCATACTCCTAAATGCATTTTGTATCTTGTTGTTATTTTGACAGGTAGGATGACATTAAGAGGGGATATATGCCACTAACTGATATAATTACAAATCTGTTCCAGTGGACTGAAGCTGAATTTTAAAATTAACTTGCACCCTCACAAACCCACTTCCAACCATTTCTGTTGGAATGCCACCTACATGTCCAGTATGGATCCGTGTGACAATGGCAATGCTGGGAATTAGTGGCAGAGGCCAATCAACCATCCTGAACTCTCATCCCCTCCACTTTGCTTCTGCCAAAGCTGTTATCTCTCAGAACATTTGTCACAGATACACCAGGGTACAGCAGTTGAAAAGCCATTATCTCTTTCAAAAGTAGTGACTAATGTGCTTTTGCCCACAGCAATGTGGAAAGTCACAGGAAGATTTTGCTGTAGAATCAGCGGTATTTACCTTGTGGAAAACCAGCTGCATTTTCCTAATACTTATTAGATAAATAGAGGTTTTTATTTTTTGCAATTTTTTTCTGGTAGCTTTCTTCTTATATTTCTCCTGGAACTGTTGATTGGTATTTTTATATCCTTCTGTCATTAGCCAAGAGGCAACTTTAAGGTTTTTTTCTCTGAGTAAAACAATATTTCACTTGACTGGATGATACTGTCCAGTGTAATTACATGTGTTTTGATAATGAATACTTAAAAGCATCTTTCAAAAAAATGACAGCTGACTTTTCTGCCTGTGGTGACAGCCCATCCACCACAATGTTCTGCAACACCAGGGCCAGCATATCCCACCTGGTGGCAATGCACAGTGGTGAATCAAAATCAAAATCATCACAAGCACTCCCTGCACTCCATTTTACACAGAAAAGGATGGTGCTTGTAGTTTATTGCAAGGCTTACCTCATTAAATCATTTTTTCAGACAATGAACTTCTGAGAAACTTTTGGAAAAACCAAACTCCGAGGAGCTCAGGTGGTGGCACTGCCTTTGCAGTGATTCTTTTCATTGTGGGGGATGAAGGGGAAGGAGCAAGATTTTCATTTGCACAAGCTGCAAGTCATCCATGGAGTTGGATTTATATCTGGGAAAAAGAATCTGCGTGGTTATCTACAGTGACATTCACAGTCATTGCTTTTCTTCAAGGTGACGTAGGTGGTACAATAACTTCAAAGCTGTTTTTTTCATGTGGGGCTGTATGTTAATAGCTGAATAACTGAACAAGGTGTTGGTTCAAATAAACAGTTTATGATGGAATATAATCACTTGTTACTTGGTTTTTCTCAATATCTCTATCTTGAATGCTTAAAATCTGCTTACAGCATGAATACAATTAAACATGTAGATATTTTTCTTGTTACTGCATCAAGGCTCTTCAAGCATGTAGCTTGTTTTCACACACTTCCAC